AGCAACCCGAACGATGACGGGAAAAGGTTATATTAAAGGAAGCAATCCATCATCATCATCTGAGGCGTTACAGCCACGGGTGAGCCTTAGCCTGGTGAAGCAAATCCCTGTAGTCCGAATTGCTTGATTCTATTCATTGCTTTCTTTCTCCAGGCTGTATCCCCAAGATCTTCATGTCCTGTTCGATACCGTCCAACCATCTGAGCTTGGGCTTGCCTCTACTCCTGCGGCCGTCCGGCCGGTCCTCCAGAAGACATTTGGATACTCTGGCCTCGTCCATTCGCACTACGTGCCCTGCCCATTGCAGGCGTTCGATCTTTATGAACATGATGATGTTTGGACCATCATATATTGGAAGCAATCCATTGAGAGAAAAACAAAACGTGCTTATGTCTGTCCAAGAAGTGCAAATCGCATTGGTAGGTGAGGGGAATTGCAAAGACCTAGCTTTAATCGAATTATTTGATTAGCTTAATAAAGCCTTCGTAAATTTTCTTCCACAATCATATCCACTCTTTATAAATTACTCTCTTTTGTAATAGCTTCTCCTTCGCCGATGGGAGTGGTGTCTTAAAAACACGTTTCGTGTCAACTCAGCATAAAACCGATTCTAAATTTACTTCGAATCCCTACAGCCGTTGCGTTATGAAGTGGGAATAAACTAATAGGGCGATAACAATTAAACCAAGGAGTTTGTGACCCACTGCAAATCATGATATTAAGCTTAATAACAATCTATATATATATATAAAAAATGAATTGCTGTTCGTTAGTTCGGTAGTTCTCTAAAATTCGAGTACGGCTGGACCGATTTGGCTTATTTTGGTTTTGAAATATTTGTAGCAGTCCAGGTTTACACCTGTCAACTACGTCTGTGTAACCGGTCAAGCACTTTATGCGTGCGCTCCGAAAATTCTCTTTCTATGTGTTCAGATTGACAAATTCCCTAGAAATAATTTTTATGGCAAAACAACGTTTGCCGAGTCAGCTAGTTATAATAAACATTTCAAATTTCAAATTTCTTTATTTGCTAGTAAATAGGAACAGAAATATTTTGGTCTTGTTGTCCATAAGTACCATCTATTTCACTTGTACCCATTGGTGGAACATTTCTCGAGTAGCGTTCATTCAAAGTTCGAAGTTAAATCGTACAATTTGGTAAGCGCGATTGAACGTAAAGTTCTGGTCGGCAGTTCTAGGCGTCCGTGGGTCTCGTGATCGCGGTCCAGAACCATCAAGGGCACCAGCGCCGGTCGGTCGTATGGACAGTGAATTTTAAAGACAATGCACCGATTTACATTCCGCCATGCGTCCGCTGTTAAGGACGCGCATTAACGCTATCTTGGACAGACATGTTTGTTTTATAACGCGGCCCCTCTGAATCGGCGATCGATTCTCCACGGAAGAAAACTAGAGGCGTGCGAAGTTTGTTATGATTCGGTTATGTTTAATGTGAAACCGATTTTACCCTTCCTTTCCTCTGCCTTATGGCATCTACGTGGGGTCGAAGGACATGTTAATGATGTTGTAAGTGGTATTGGCTATATTTCTTACGATTTACCTTCTGTCCCTCCTTGGGAATAAATAAGATCCGGAACTCGATTTTATAATGATTTTATTCTATCATGTTCTCTTGAAGTAAAGGTGGAAGGTGCATATTTTGGATGGCCCACTACCGAGAAAGTCGTCTTTTTCAAATAGCATTTTCCAATGAGTCTTGCGACTATTGTTTATTCTTTGGCGAAATTCAAATGTACTGGATTTTTTAATTAGTCTTCTCGCAATGATTGCCTTCAGCGTGAACGGGGTATATTTCTTTTTAAATAGAAACGAATGGATTTTTGAAAACGGGTTCATACAATCTAGGAAGCGATGGTGGATTTTTAATTGTGTTAGATGAATGGGAAGATTTGTTGTTGATGGCTTTGTCGAAGAAAGAAGCCGAAATTTATGCTAGTTAAGAAATGGTCAAGACAACATTAGTAAACTTCTTGTCTACTTCGGTTTTTATTGCATCTTTAGCAATGCTTGGCGTTATCTAATGTAATTCATTTACCTAAAGCAAGCATACTACAGCTCCTGCTCTTCCCGCCTAGGTGGGTGGGCACAACATGTAAATGATGTCGTAAGCGGTTTTGGCTATATTTTTTACGACCAGCCACTTGCGTGACTTCAATCCTCATTAAGAAATGTAATCCATACTAATATTATAAATGCGAAAGTAACTGTCTGTCTGTCTCGCTTTCACGCCAAAACTACTGAACCGATTTAAATGAAATTTGGTAAACAGATAGTCTAGAGCCTGAGAAAGGACATAGGCTGTTGTAAAGGGTTGAAAAGAGGAATGAAAAGTTTTCTGAAAGTATTGCCATTTTCAGAACAAAAAAGCATAAACCTTATATTTTAGGCTGTTGATTAGATATAAATAAATATGCCATTCAAAGTTTGTAAAAATGTTACCACGCGGATGAAGTCGCGGGCACAGCTAGTTGAAATATATTTTTTCGATTTATAGTGCTAACCTCTGCATTTAATATGAAACTTAAAAATGCATAGGTGAAACTATTGCAAAATTTTTCGCCACTGCCGGGATTTATATAATTTGCGCCTTTCAGATTTCGCTTCCAGACTATGACTACCCAGGGATGTCAAAAGTGAAGAAATATATCGATATTTATAAAAATATCATTATCTGCCTCGACATATAGAAGAGAAAATATCGATATTTTTTCTTTAGTTCCAAGAAATCCCTTTGTCCAAAAAAAAGGTATGTTAAGTATTAAATACCATAATACACCCACGGACTCTGTGCCGGATTATATCGCTTTTGTTACGATTGTCGATATTAAATATTTTGTATCCATAAATCGATATATCTGATCCAAATATACATCGGCTGAAAATATTGATATATAAAATCAAAAATATCAATATATCGATATTTTTCGACATCCTCATTCCAGACATCCTTACAGCGCGAAAATCTACACGACTTTATTGTTTGTCTTTTATTGCAATGCATGGAGTTCTTAGTACTTTTTTAGTGTACTCAATATTTAGATTTCTATTTTAGCACGTGGAGAAAAATGGCATACAATAAATTACAAACATATTTCCAGTTCCCTTGTCGTCATTTAAATCGGGCGTTTATTCGAACATCGCACGTAATTCAATGAATAATTCGCTACTCACACTGAGCGCCAATATTACGAGTACTTGTTACGTCTATATCATGTAATAAGATCGTATTCTAGTAACTCAAAGCGAATTTCCTTGCCGCCTATTTCCGAATTGCGCAATTAATGTTAGCGTGAAGCAAAACTAATCCATATTGACATCACTCATCACTGGGATTATTACAGTATCAGGTGTTAAATGTTAAAGTCTAAATAGCTATTGCCCACTTCTAACAATCTTCAAAATATTTTTTTTGCAGAAAAAAAGTGCGTCATTTTATTTTATTATTAATTATAATAATATTTATTATATTGATTAAGTAACAGCCTATACATCTCCCACTACTGGGCATACGCCTCCTCTATACAGAGAGTTTCAGGGCATAGTCCACCACGCGGCCCCACTCTGGATTGGCGGACTTCACATATCTTCGAAATATTATTTTTGTTATTATTTCGAAAATATGCAGGTTTCACGATGTTTTCCTTCACCGCAGAGCACGTGATAAGTCAGCACTTAAAGTTAAAAACTTCATTGGTGCCGCCACCGGGGATCGAACTCAGGTTGCTCGAGTATATTGAATTAAAGGCGAGCGCCCGGACACTGAGCTACCACGGCTCTTATTATATTGATTAAACATGAAAAAAATAAATTTTTTTATGTTTAATTTAAAAAATTTAATGTTTAATCTTAAAGTGCACAGAATAGCACTAGAAAAATTTAAATATTTTTTTTCATTCACTTATGTGCACTTTAATTCGTGTTAAGTAAAAGTTATTTAAAAATAATTTATAAAATATAAATATAATTAAGTATAATATTATAATTCTTCTGTGTGGCTGAACTCTTCCTAAACGGCTCGACTAATTTTGATGAAATTTTTTGTGTTTTCATTTTCATTCGAGAATGGTTTACATTCAAAATCCACGTTCCACTACAAAATGTTTTTTTTTTTAAATATTTTTCGAGAGCCAGTGAAAAGCAATGTTTTCCGCTGACCGTGCTGTTTAATAATAATTTAGATTTTTTAAATTTAACGCTCAATAAAGGTGATTTTTCTTGAACTTAGTTTTGATTGATGGTTAAGTAAAGAGTCATTTTATTTGAAACTCATTTGGTTTTAATCACTCTGGATAAAAAATACAACAGTAAATATTAAAAAACTAAATGTTACTTAAGTAAAGCCTTTTTTTTATACTTCGAGAATGAAAGAATGTTTTTACTTAACAGCACACAGAAATTCGTGTTAATTAAACCTAATTGATGCTTTGTCCGTGTGTCCACTTATCGCAATGTTTGTTTTTTGAAATATTTTTGAACTGTCAAATTAATTCAACTTAAAATTATTTGAAAATTAAAAAAAAAAATGCTGGTACATCTGTTGATGAATTGTCTGCACCGAAGACTTTGGAAACTTCGATTTGCATTCGAGATTAATCCATTGAGTATTTTGGTATTACTGCACATAGATATGATATAGGTGCCTATCACTCAAAAAATATTTCAGTGTACATAATTTTATTATTATGTTTCAAAATTTTAATATGCACCAAAGTTAAGATCGCAATCGGGTAATTCGGTGTTCTAAAAGTTATCTTTAAATGGATTAAATTTAAATATTTTACGTACACTAGAAAAAGAATTTATTTCAATAACTGAAAGACAGTAGATAACTTAAATGTATTCGCGAAATAAAACCAAATCATGTTTTTAAATAAAACTGTATAAAGGTATTAACGCTTAGAACAAATAAAAATAATTATCACTTCAGCTGTTACAATTTAAATCTCTAAACCTACGTAATAATATAATGAAAGACTTACGCAACAAATTCTCTCCAATCGCCAATGTTGTGATTGAGGCGAATATAATAATCGAATTCTTCATTTTCATCTTTGCGTCACAGATAACTTAAAACACCGTGGGCTGCGTTTTGACGTCCGTTGCCGAGCGAAAGTGACAGGTGCAACGCAATGGCGTCGTAAGACTGAATTCGCGCGCGTTTCCCGCTTCTATATATTTCCTTTGGTCAGCGATTGCAAAAACGCTATGCAAACGGCCAGCTCTTGTGACAGATGATATTGATGTCACCTTTATGCGTTTATGGATGCTGGATATAATTTAGATCGGATAGAAATTTCGAATTTTCTCACACTTAAATAAAACATTTTAAAATTTAAAGCAATTTAACCCACTTGTAACGCATGTACTTACTTGTTCGCCTGATGCTGACAATGTTATTTTTATATTCATTCCAAGCCGTTATTTGCGAACAGATATGTATTAAGTTCTTATATAATTTATGTTGAAAATTACAATATAGGTACCGTATTTAACTAAAAAATACTAAAGATAAGTATAGAATGTAAACTTAATGTTTGTATGTCTAAGTATTTGTATACCAGAAATGGTATTAATGGTAATGAATATCATGGAATTATACAATATGATTGTCAGCATTTTATACCATATTTAAACAAATAAATAAATAAATAGTGAACAAATAATAATATTTTTTTTGAAAATAGTTAATGAATTTATATTCAATCATTTCCACGTTTACTGGCGTTCGTGTTATTTTGAAAGACTTAATTGAAAGATTCAATCGATTGGCAAAAAACGACCAGCTAATGTCCAACATGATATTTTAAATGTAAAAAATGTATATTTGATAAGTTTTATTTTTTTTTTAGTAACAGGAAAATTGTGTTAGTGTCGACGTAAGTACTTAGAAGAACATTTTTTTATTACCATGGAATAAATGACTTGCCTGCCAGTCTTCCACGCATACAAATGGCAAGCAAATGAACTAGAAATTACACAAATCCCCTGACCATACTACGTCAGAAGCGTTTACTATAGTTTACTAACGGCGCTGTATGGATACCAATAATAATAGTAAATATTTCAGGACAAATTTTAACACATCGTTTCTAGTGCCAAACTAAGCAACGCTTGTAATAGTACAACTATTACAAGGATATAACATTACCCCTATGGGTACCAGATACCTAATGAACATATTTAAATATATTTTTATTTTGTAAGTAAATACATGAACCTCTACACTCTGGAAAAACAATGTTCATTACAAAATAATTTCCCAGTAGCGGGGATCGAACCCACAGACGCAAGAATCATGTTCGCTGTCAACTACGCCAATCGGGTCAGCCAATGATGGAGTGCCTGGACGAACATGAATTTTATAAATTTTTTGGGTAATAATACATTCTATATTCATGATATATTAATCTCATGTTGAAAACCGAAACACTAAAATGTTTCACGGCAACATTTCCACATTTTCGAGTGCAAATATCAAGGCCTTGTTTGTATATTTCATTTTGGCACGATGACCGACTGCCGCATTTAAGCAATAATGCGATGCCGATATATTGTAAACAGTTAAACTTTACCACAATGGCATATATAGAAATTCTGAACAGGTAAAAGTTAGTCATACAATAACTTTTGTAAAAGATAGTCATACAATAACTGAGATCCCGAACTGATATTGGCTCTGAAACAGCAACGACCTATGTGGTGGTATCGATACTGGTAAATGCGATGGTGGATATGTACCCGTTTAAACAAACGATAGTGTGCGTTATTGATTAAACTTTTTTAATTTTCGCTTTAAAAAAAAAAACATTGCCCATCCTGTATGAGAACAATATCCCGTGTTGTAAGAAAGTTTTTACAACTCTCACGTGGTGCAAACACGCAGATACCCAGGACTTCGGACGCCGAAGCCAATTGTTGAGTCATAAAATTGCCAGGTTTTTTTCATTGGGGACGGTGGCAAACGAGCTGGCGGGTTACCTGCCGTTAACTGATAACCGCCGCCAACACCCGTAGGGTTGCAGATGCGTTGTAGTTGCTACCTTTAATAAAGTAGGACGCGTCTACCTCGCTCAACAGGTGAATAATTTATAGATAAATAGTGCGTAGCCCTACCGCAGTCAACTTTGATACCGAGCCGTCAGCTGATACCTATTTATTTAAGCTTGACGGTTCTCAAGGCAGTCCTTAGTATTCGGTGCAGCTTCCGCCATCACCACACTTCAAACGCATCGATCTTACTATCCCGTCTCGGCTTCGTATATTTCATGTATCGGCAACATTCATAAAAATTGAAAACAACAGGGTTTTAACCCAACGGACTTTGGTTGTACTACGAATACTTAAGTTGTCCCAAATTTTGTTCAGGTTAGCCATATCACTTTTAGGCAATGTCATCGGCGAACCTATATACACAAAATTTCTCTTTTGTATAGCCCTTGAGAGCATATAAAGAAGATTGGTAGTTGGTACACTGAAGCGGCAATGGGTCGGCAATAATCAATGGGAAGTGAAAAGGGAAGTTCTCGAGTGGCAGCCTGGTACTGGCATGACTCCTCACTAGATGGAGTGACGTACTGTGCAAATATGTGTTAAGTTGATGGATGTAGGTGGTTCAGATACGAATCTGGCATCTTCATGGCAGACTGTGGGGAAGGCTTAAGTCCTGCAGTGGACTAAAACATGCTAAAATGATAATTATGCTTTCCAATAGAATTATCAAATGATCCGTCAATTATTTCTTCATTCGTACTAATCTTCCTACAAAGAGGAGCAGTTCAAAAGAGTCTTAGATTCAACATCTGATATCCATGAATTATTTTTATATGTAACAGTAATCTAAACCTAAGTGGTATAGACAAATATTTTCGGCGGAAACCGCACAAATCGTCGTGCACTTCGAAAAACCAAAACCAACGAAGCGAGAAGTTTTACATTGGGTTGTGTCAAACAACTAAGCGTGAGAGGTCTTCTACACTGTTCTAGCAATCGGGCAAGAATATGGGAATCGAACCCCAGGACCCGTTGTTTCAAGTGCACTGCTCCCCCCTTACTAAAACGCCTTTAATGCAAATACGATTAATTAATCAAACATGCAAAAACAAATAAAATTTGTCCCCACCCATCATTTTGTTAGATAAATAATTAAGTGCCTGGAGGACCGAGCTTTGCTCGGTTTTTTTTGGTAATGTATTTTGGAAATAAAAAATAAAGAAAATGATCTGATATAGAAAAAAAAGTAAAAAAATAAGTGTGTACAAATTATCGTGATACGAACCGCGGCCGTTTGTTTTGGGGCCGCCCGATTACCGACAGAGCTATTATATTTTTGCGGCGAAATTTACTGTCATATTTGAATTATATTTTTCATTCCCTGAAATCAGGGATAAAAGCACATTTCCTAAAAATGAAACCTAGCTAATTCGATTTTTCGCCCCCGAATCTACGCACATACTAAATTTCATGAAAATCGCTCAAGCCGTTTCCGAGATTCCGATTATATATATATATGCATATATACAAGAATTGCTTGATTAAAGGATAAGAGATAATGAGGAATTGTTTAGAGCCGTGATAACTCAGTGTCCGGGAGTTCGCCTTAAATTTAATATACTCGAGCAACCTGAACATTTTCGAGATAACAACAAAAAAAAATATTCAATATTTCGAAGATATTTGAAGTTCGCCAATCCGCAGTGTGGCCACGTGGTGCACTATGCCCAAATACCCTCTGCAAAGGAGGCATTCTCCCAGTAGAAGGATATATAATATAGGCTGTAACTACATCATTTTGTTCAAATATGCAACAAAACCAAAATAATATATTTAATTTTATTACATACTACAAATACATAAATATTAGAAAATAATATATTATTTAAGTAAACGTTATGAAACATCAATATTGTATTATAGAATATTACCTGATTATTGATACCTTATATTGTACCATAACATTAGCCTCAAAAGCTCCAAAAAAGAAAACATTATTCATCAATTGTAAATTAAGTATTGTAATTGTTGCTTTCATAATATCTATCTCAATGTAAATATTTATTACCTTTAACTTAAAATTGATAAATTCAAATAAAGTGAAGTTTTAACATGGTATGTTTGTGACTTATATAATCATGTTTAAAGCTACAAATGATTTTAACCACATAATTGATTTACAATTTAACTTCATGCACGTTGGCCTTAAATCCTGGCCATAACTTAGTTTTTTTAATATTAAATATTTTTATTAAATATTATACCAAAATAAATAACTTATCTTTATATAGATCATATAATAATTTAATAAATACATGATTATCTATGACTAATTAAATTATAATTACATCTCCATTCTCCACGGAATCATACTTATAAGTGACATTGCTTACAAACTCTTTATAGCCTTTTTGATATTTTAAAGCTAGAGAATTGCTTGGAAGAGTGCTATTAAATATAGAATCTCCATTGGAATTTAGTTTTATAACTCCAAAATACATCACTTCGGGATTAACTACTTTTTGGAGTTCCTTTCTTTTCTCTTTAATAATAAGTGGTTCTTTTACAGGAAGCATAAGAATCATGTCCTGGGTCTCGTCATCTACTTTAACTTTAGCTTGTATAGATCCATTACAAGAAGATGTCTCTTTTGCTTTTTGTACAGGTAAATGGCAATAAATGCACCTTATATTATTGTCATAATCTGTGTCCAACGGCACTGGAAATAGGCGTTCATTCAAGTAGAACCTATATGCACATTCGTGTTTTCCTAAACTTGTGGCACTGCCTTTTAATGATATTCTAGATTTGGCAGAGTGGCATTCAAAATAATTTTTCCTTCTGAATTCCTTTATTTTCTCAATATTATCCTTGGTTTCTGTGTCAAAATATCCCATCTCTTCAGGTGTTGGTTCAGGGCAAATTTCAAATATAACATCTTTTAAACAGTCCAAATCGGATAATGGGTCTTCTGCTGTTTCCCTTATTGTGCTTAGTGATGGTTTTAGTTTGTTCCTACTGGCTGAAGCGTGGACTGATTCAGAAGAATGCGAAAAGTTTTCATTTTTGTAATATTGCTGAATTGCTTTATAGTTCTTTTTATTATTTGGGAAATTAATAATGCTTTGCTTCTTACTGTCAATATGATTGCTTTTAATAGACATATTATCATTTAAGTCGATCCCCATGTCCCTATTAATGGATTTCGTTCCACCTTGGAACTTACCCAATGTATCTCCACATTGCGTGCAAAGTTCCGACTTTCTATAATTTCTGCCCACATTCTTTTTAAAATTTAGATCAGATTTTGTTGTTGGTTTTGAGTCGGAAAGTCTCTGTTTATCTTGATGACTTATGATGCCAGTTGAACAACTTTTTACATTGTTATTACCTGATTGAATTAAACTTTTCGAGGAAATAACTTTTCGTAAATTCCTTGAGTTATGTGACACGGGTTTATTTCTAAAACATTTGGGTACATTACAATTATAATGGTGATGTTTACAAAGCATAACTTTATCATTTATTTTTTAAACATAAGTTCATAAGTTGCAAATATACATCCGAAATCAAATTTATTGCTTTAATGTCATCAAATCAAATCGTTGAATTGAATCTGAATTCTGACATATTGAAAAGCTGTTTCTATGACAACCACGTTTTTTTTTTAATTGAAATGTTTCGTCGAAACCTAACTCGAATTTTATTAGAATTTTACTTATTATTTACAAAAGTAACTAAAGGACGACCTTCGTTTAAATTACAAATGTTTAGTTTTGAGCTTGAAATAAATATAAAGTTAAATTAATCTGACCAAATCAGCGACATCTGTTATTAAACGAAACTTGTACCTTATTTTGACTGTATTTGGCACTGCTATAATAGCAAAAGCCACATATAGATGGCAGATAATGCGAAAAGTGAATTAATGATACATAACCAAAGTTTTCATAATAATCATTATTAAGTAGTGGCTTAAAGGTCTTGTTACCAGGTCATAAATCTTTATTAAATAAATTAGTAGGTAGTAAAAGGCGTTTAAATGAATATTTGAAAAAGTTGTAAAACCAATGATGGGTAAAACTTCCGATCCAAAAACTTTTTACGGATTTTATCGTTTTCCATAAATGTAACGTATTCGAAATGTCGTCGACGTAAAAAGAGATGGCATAAAACCTTTAAGATTTTTTAAATTTAATTATATATATATCATGTTACCTTATTTATTTTAATCTTTCTAAATATTGACTATTTTCTTCATTTATTTACTTATAAGTTTAATTGTGTCTACATAATTTAGGCCTCTGAAGTTGTGTTAATAATTTCAATTGAGATACTAAATAAAATACATCACATCTCTTAATATTTACTTTCGGCATCCGCCGTTTTGCCTCCGACATTTTAATAACAAGTTATTGCCTTTATTGGAAACATTTTTATTCCTGCAAGATGTGAGAAAGTAGAATTTCGACTTTCTAGAAAGAACTTCATTTATCGACCCACGACCTGTTGTTTTCTTACAAAACGATTTTATACATTGCGATGTCAACTATAAACACACAGTGTCTAATATTATAACATAGTAAGTGCAAGTGTTAAGACATAAGTAAAAAACGCAGGTATACGCCCATTTTCAATCAATGAAAAATTATAGTTGCAAAAATTTTGGTATACAATTTTCACTAATTTTATTAGTGTCCATAATATGTGGTATGTGGTTCTACCTGAACAGTGAATTTTATACACAAAAAACACTGAGTTGAACCAGAAACTCCAGACTTTATTGACCGCAGAGCCGTAATAGATCAATGTCCGGGCGCTCGCATTTAATTCAATAAACTCGATCCACCTGAGTTCGATCCTCCTTAACGGTGAAGTAAATCATGAGGTATAGGTATAGGTCTTGCATATTTTCGAAGTAATAGCAGAATAAAAATATTTCGAAGATATGTGAAGTCCGCCAATCTACAGTGGAGCGGCGTGGTGGACTATGCCCTGATACCCTCTGTACAGAGGAGGCCTTTATTATTACACATGTATATTACTACTGTTTTAGCGTGATTAGTTTTTAAGCGGCATCAGAACTGTAGTCTTATTTATAAGCACAGATAAGAAAACAACAATTCAAGTTATGAATTTGGCGGGAATTCTAATAAACACGTTAGCTTATAGCCAAGTTTCCAAATCATAATCTTGTTTGTTAGCGAGTATCGTCGTTTCGGCCAAACTTATTTAATTTCGGTGAAGTTGTTAAGTAAACGGAAGGAGGGAGGTACCGAGTTTAATGTCTCAGGCGAACTTTGTCTTGAATTTGCCAACTAACGCGATTTCAAAGGATTTATTTGATAATTTATTACGCTATATCAACGTGCCTGTATTCTGGTGTAAGTTTTATAATTATATGGGAAGTGGTGTTATGAGAATAGTCAAACATATATGCATATGTTATGTTTTGCTATCAAGCTAGGGTAATAACAGCGCACGCGTAATTTTCAGGCTTCTTAGAACTGGTTTTTGTTTTGGTATCCCAAATGGTGCGTGCATTGCCAGTCTTTAGAAGGGTAGGCCTCCAATTATCTTGCACCGGCACAGCACCCTTTTGTCGGAGTGGGTGTACCGAAAGATTGCATCTTCGTGTTCCCGTGTCCCTGGCTAGTGCAATATTCGATATAAAAAAATATTCGGATGCATTCGGTCGAGATTGGTAGGATCGTTGAATCGTAGAACTAAGGTTTTCTAACCCAGTGGTGTGCACTGTGCAGGACACGTCATTGCCTTACTGCGATAAACTTACTGTTTAGCTGAATAGGTTGATTGATCTATTGACTTAAAGTTTTGTGTAATAATAGATGCGATTTAATTTGCAAGGTGAAGCCGGGTCGGGCAGTCTTACACTGACCACTTTCGGGTCACGGATGATTGCATGCGTTGTTGTCTTCTACACTGCGTTTGGATGCACGCTTCCTTTGATCGAAATCGCTTGCTCGTTCGATCGGATAAGGCACGCGAGGACGAGCGACCTTTGCGCTTTGCGGTCGGAATTTTGATTAGATCGACGACTGTTTCTGGTCGACGGCACGAGATGTCGCTATTAATGAGCTGTTCTATAGTTCAATCGCTACATAGTAAAAAACGAAGTCGTCCCGCTGTCTGTCTGTCCTTATGTATGCTTAGATCTTTAAAACTACGCAACGGATTTTGATGCGGTCTTTTTACTAGATAGAGTGATTCAAGGGGAAGGTTTGTATGTATACATATAAACCACATTATTTTTATATGTATACATATAAAAATAATGTGGTTTATATGTATGTTTATATGTATACATTAATACATTGCACCCGTGCGAAGCCCGGGCTGGTCGCTAGTTATGATATAAATTCGGGTCTGTGTCTTCGTGTTTGTATTCACTTTACGCAATGTCTTAATAGATTGGAATATAATTAGGAACGGAGACAGCTTATACGTTTGATTTATAATAGCTACTTTGTATCTAATTAAAATTGACTATCATATTTAGAAAAGACCTACTTTAGTGCCGCTGTGGGTGAAAGCATCATTAATTAAAACAGCATATCAGTATTAAATATTGCATATCGCTTTTTCGGGAGATCACTGAAATGGTGTGCTTTCTCATTAAGTGTTTATCGCCCATAGTGTTATTGAGTTTATTTTCTGGATTTTAAGCTCTGTATATCTCTAAACGTAATGATGTTCGCTGAAGCAGACACGTGTTAGAGTGGACACCACGATTAGGGAAACGTAGTGTGGGAAGGTCTGCAGCACGATGGACTGACGACATAAGAAAAGTAGCGGGGAGCGGATGGATGCGGGCTGCCGGGGAACGGGATAGTTGGCGCAATTCGGGGGAGGCTTACGTTCAGCAGTGGATTGCGATAGGCTGATATTGATTGGTTTTATATCTCTAAACGCACCTTTTTAAATATATAATTATAATTCCTTTACAGTCAAGGGTATCTGCTTGTGGAATGAACTTCCTCAGCAAATTCGTCGTGCAAAGACGCTAGACAAATTTAAAAATGATGTAAAGAATTGATCTTAAAAGTATAATAGATTAATATTGTCAATCACTATCTTGATCTTTCCTCTGTAATCCATAGGTAATATTGACAATATTAATCTATTATACTTTCATATATTTATGTTAATTATATATATTATATATTTATTTATGTTTATGTGTGTTTATTATAATTTATTTTATTGGGGGGATATTCATTTGTTTTCTCGTCTGGTTGGGTTTATAAATAATAAATAATAATAATTTATTTTATTATTATTAAGTAAGTTTATTAAGTACACCACCTCCCACTATTCATAAGTTTATTTTCCTTGTCCTAAGATTGTCTGGAAGAGATCGCTTTTTAGCGATAAGACCGCCTTATTATACCTAGCTTTTAAGATTTATTTTATATGAACTGTATAAAACTTTTTGTGGTGTACAATAAAGTATATATAATAATAATTATTATTATTGTTAAATGACATACCTATTATTTACAAATATTATATACTCAATACAAGTAACAGAGACAGTAGCGTAGAGTCCAGATTCTTGCTTTTAATGCATTACTCTCGAGCATGATGAGTTTGAATCTCGATTTATCATGTGTTCATTACTCTAATGTGGCAGGTTAGTAAATTATAGAACGTGTTAATGATTCATTATCATTATATTATCAATGAATCGACGCGGTAGATGCACTTCATTGTTTCTCCGATCACGAATCCTTACGCACACTGAGGTTGTCCTGTTAGGGTGACCAGCATCGGGCTAATCGACGGATATAATGTAGTAATAATATAATGTATAATATAGTCTTGTGTGTATGTGTGTAGGTTTTACGCACAACGGCTGTATTGGTTCTGATGATATTTAGAATAAATGTAGCCTATGGTTTTATCTTAGAAAGATATATAGTTACGGACAAATTGATTATCGAGTTATTGTTAATCATGCTAGTTACAGCTTACAGTGGTTGTGCAACAGCATAAACTGATATGTTTTATATAACATAACACATATACATATATCATACTATGTAATAAAAACAATGTTGGTTATGGTATTTTATAAATTCAATTTTAGAAAGTGAACGCTTAGAACCGGTCAGGTTTGCGATTGGCGATTCTAGAAAGTAATAGATGATATGCCTATAGCTTATTTAATTAGCAAAAAATCAACATTAGCTACAAGTCATCCTGTCAACTTATAATTCATTATTGAGCTTCAAAAAGTTGTTATAGCATTAAATGCGCGAGAAATTCAGTTTTAACAACGGACTGCCCCCGAATGTATCTAAGATTGCAAAGTTTCAAACGGCGAGGCTATCGTAGTATGATAAATGATAGCGTCAATGTTTCACAGTAAGAGCGATGACTTAGTGGCGCAGTTGGCAAGCCTTTGGCTTCGTCGCCAGGGGGCGTGGGTTCGATTCCCACACGGTACAAGCATTTGCCTGATCCACAGATAGCCCACCTAAGTGGAATTAGGGCAGGAGAAAGAATAAAAAAAAAGTTGCATAGTAGGAGGGGAGAGTTATCTGATTTCAGAATAAATTTTATAGTTCTAGATATGACTAGATATGATGTAAAGCTTTACTAAGGGATAAGGTGAAAATCAGCACTGAGAAATTCTCAGAAATCGCTGAGCTTATTACCTTTTTGCCAAAATGTTATTTATATAGTTTTTTTTGTGTATCATAGTTTGTTTTATATCTTTTTTTTTGTTCATATTTTTCTACGTTATTTTCTTTTGGTTTTTGGGTTATGGCAAATAAAATAAAAAAAAAATATTATTATTTGGGGGATATTCATTTGATTTCTCTTTATTATTATTATTATATTCATTTGGGCACAAAAGCTAAGCAGCAACTTCTGTTGGAATCGACCGGCCTCCTCCACCTCGCACACTACCCACCACTGGGTTAGAAAACCTCGCAAAACACTGGCTTAACAGAAGTTTTATGAGGATATTTAAAAGGCAGCTCAATGGTATAGTTTACTACTATCTGCCGATGCGTGAAACTTCGTGGTACATGTTTATGGACTCCAGACGCAAAACAACTGCTTAGTTGTTTTGCGTCGTCTGGAGTGTAATTTTTGAGAGTGACGATTTCCAAGAGAGGGATTATTTTTTAAAGGGAAACAATGGCTTGCATTTGAGTTTTTTGAGTGAGGTAGCCGAGACTCGCTCTCGGACTTTCATTGAAGGCCGTGGTATCGTCTGCTGTTTTGTTTTGAGCAATTAGAGAGGACTGTGAACTCATTACCGGCCGAAATTTGATTTAATTTCCGAAATTTCTATTCAAAATATCTAATCTCAGAGACTGTTGAGATGTATTCTTGAATTCATTTATTTAGGTAAACATTTTGCACAGACTAGTACAAATGCGGAATGCCATAAGCATTTTCTACCAACCAACCTTAGGGCGGAAGGGAAAATGAGTTAGTTTATGTATACTAAATAAACTTATACTGAACAATACAAAATATTAAAACAAAGAATATTTACTATGAACTTATTCTGCTGACAGTTGTTTAAGAGCTTTGCTTCTTAAACAATAGTGAAAGAAAATAATTATACCTAAAAAAAAAAGATTTGCAAATTCCTTTTCGCGATGACTTTACTCGTAACAAGCGTACGAGAAATTATATTACGGTCATTATAATTTTAACATTTGCATATGTGTTGTTATAGATTTGTTTATTAAAAACTACATTTAAAATATTTGAATCGCAAAACACTTTCACCGCTATCGCATGTAAATTTGGTTCTACTTTTATGTATTGAATTCGCTGCGATGACTTTTTCTTGTGCGAATTGATTTTTTTTATGGGAAAAGTGGTCAAAAACCCGGCTTGGCACGTAATCAGTAGCCGTATCAAAGTGAAACACTATTATTTTTTAATTGTTTTTAATTATAATCGAGGAAAGACAAGCGTTTATAAAAGCAGTAACTAAGGTTTGAGTTTATGAATGAATGTTTATGTTTATGTCGTGGGTGCGATTCCCACACGGTAAAAATACTTGTGCGAGCCACAGGTACTTTTTTCGGTTTTTTTCCGCGTGAAATTTAGGTTTGTAAAACGTCCTTACAACATAGGATAATGTTATCCTAATGTAGGGGAAATGTTTAAAAAAAATATGGTCCTTTTACGTAATTTTTGATCATGAATGTGGTGGCTCATGGTGTCTAAAAGACCGTAATTATAAAATTAATGTGCGATTTCATGAAATAGCACGCTTATATTCTTTCATTAAGTAACCGAGACAACTGCAGGATCGAAAACATGTTAAGATATGTCTTTTCCTGGCTTTTAGCCCAACTTTTTCTGTCTGAGCTGGGACTGCGTCCTCCTAAAGTTAGCACCTTTTGTAGCCGATGACGCCACCAGCCCTTAGCTAGTAGTGGATGATTAGTGAACCACAAATATACCATTAATTAACCTATTATCTTATCTAATTTCACTTTATGATTCGTTCTAAATCGCGTCTAATTACTCTCGTCTGCGGGGGTAGCTAAATACCGAGAATAATATAATAATAAATGTAATTATTTTTCGGCAACAGTGTCCTTATAGACTGGGAACGTCTAGTGAAAATTACAATTTCTCTTTGATTGTACCCCTATCTACTACATATAATATATAAAGCGGAGTGTACTTAAATAGACTGTTGGTCTTTACTTACACTTTTCTCTGCGACTGTACCCCAATCTACTACATAATCTATAAAGCATGGACCTCTACATTTAATACTTTTGTACTTGATTGTACTTTGTTATTCCCCAGTCAGTCCGCAGTCCTTCGCTCCAAGGGCCACCCTACGCTGTTGATCGGCTGGGCCGCGTGCACGGCGCAGCACTCGTGGTCAGATGTGCGTGCGCGCAACCCGTCTCTGCCGACTGTACCGACTGTGGCGGCTGAAGAGCAACTGGAAACGGCACGCGGCTATCAAGCGGCTGTTCCTATAATGAAGTTGGCAACCATAATCTCCTTCGGCCTGTTGGTGAGTGTCTCTATAGATTTTTACGTATAGTGAAGAGCGCTAGGGTTGCCACAGTTTTATATCCATATCAAAGGCGGTTGTACGATCCTCGCAGTGCAAAGATTGATCCTTAAAAATTTTCTTTGATGAAATTGGCAACCATATTCTCCCTCGGTCTGTTGGTTTCATACATTTTTACATAGCTCACGGTGAAGAACGCTAGGGTTGTCACAGCCCAATGTTCATAACAACAGCGGTTGCAGGATCGTTGCAGTGAAAAGATTGGTCTTTCACATATTAGGTGAAAGTGTCTTACTTCGCGCCTGTCTATTTATTTATTTATTTATACAAGCAAGATAATCACATTTCAATACATCATTTGATGTCGTCGCTTCTCACCCACCTACGACAGTAAAAACCTACTCCTTGATATTTATGGTGGAACAACGTGATCAGAATGTGTACATCCCAAATTCACTTTTGGTCAAAATACTTTTGGGACAATTGACGCACTCTATATCGATTGTTTTTTTTATGATTTCAACTGCAACTCATGATTTTGTAGATATGTAGGTAGGGGATAGATGTATTTGACATTGTAAATTTCTATAATTTGCACATACAATTCATTAATCCTTAAATGTTTCTATCATGACGTAGTATTAATTGAATTAATTGCTTGACCAAGAATATGAGATCATGAAAAGTATATATCTGATTCTAAAACTCCAAATCATACACTTTACGGTTGCTTCGAAATCATTGCTGACTGTAATCATATGATAAAATATATGGTTAGAAATGCTCAAGTTAAACTATCTAACTTAACTAATCTAACTGATTATTTATTTCTGAGCAAGTCATAAGGATGTCAAAAAAACAGGTTATCAAATAAAACTAGCTATGGCTCGTGGCTTCACTTTTTTATTTACCTACATACTTATTTAACATAACCCGACAATATGTACAAGTCTGATTTGGCCGGTTTATTAGTAAATTAAATAAGCCAGATACAAATGTGTTTAATTAAATAAGACAGAAACAAATGTGTTTTAATAATGTACACGATTTGTTTTTAAATGAATAATAAAATTACCTTACTGCGGTGTGTCCACGCAGAAGCTTCTGCTGTTGCAAAAATGGGCAGGCTCGTCCGGGAGAGTACCACGGCCTTACAGAAGACCGACGTGAAATGAAAGTTTTTTTTTGTTTATGTGAAAAGTTGTCAAGCGAGCAGACGGTTCTCCTGATGTTAAGTGAATACCGCCGCCCATAGACATCGGCTACACCCGACGGTTGCAGATACGTTGACAACTTTTTGAAAATTGGGCTCCGGCTACCTCACTCACCAGACGAATTGCGAAAGTAGGTACACCGGTCTTCTCTGAGGTCGTCGCCCTACCACCCTAAAAGTGTTATACATTCGCGTTTCGTCCGGTGAGTGAGGTAACCGGGGACCTTTTAATGCTTGGCAACGCATCTGCAACCGTTTTAGATGGGGCGGTGGCGATCAACCGCTTGCTTTTTTGTCAACTTTTTATATACAAAAGCTGCGAAATCAGCACTTTTACTACTTTAAAATGCAGTACTTTGGGTGTGGGCTGAAATATGTTTATTTTGCAAGCAAATTATTCCTTACAAAGGCACAGAAGTAATAGTTAATGGGGTGTCCAGGCACATTTCACAGATTCAAGTGTGATAACTTGGTTCAAGTGTGATAACTTGGTGATTATGGTATTTTCATAGAATTTTATGTCCCTGCCTCTTCGATGGTGGTTCGATCCCCACTAATGGATAAATATTGTGTGATGATCATAGTGTTTTTCTAGTGTCCGGGTGATTATAAATTTTTATATGTTATATGTATTTATTTACAAAAGAAAAGTATGTTTAAGTATGTTTATCTAGTACCCACAGCACGTTGCTAAGTTTGAGACTAGAAAACTTTATGTAAAAATATGTCCTGATATATTTTATTTTTTATTTATCATTCTATCGCATTTATCTTTGGTTTTAAAATCCCAATAGTTTGAATCGTTACGGATCCTATGTGTTTCTGCGACCTAACGTCATATATACCTCGCTACCTATTTGAACCAAAGTAAATAATAGAAAAATGTTTAAGCAGAAAGATGATGGTTCTTTTTTATTTATGTTTCATTCCGATTTATTCAGATTCATACGGCGTTGAGGAATTCCAGAAGATAATACGTTGTTTGTTTCATTACATACTCGTTTATGTATTGCTTTAAACATTTCTAGTGTAATACATCTATTGAATTAATGTATGTCTTGAAATGAGTATATTTTAAAACTATTTCCCTACAACCTTCAACAAGATGGTCTAATCTAAAAGATCGCCAACGCTTTTCCCAATCCTCTAGTGTTTTAGTGACCACTTACCACGAGGAAATCCGTTGGTCGTTTGCAGCCTCGTTTATAAAATAAAATAGCACCATCTACCCTGTATCATTACTCGTGATAATAATCATTCGAAAGGTCGACATGTAATTGTGATGATAATGAATTTCCCCGCATTTGTCCCGCAGAAAATTACAACGGAAGCTATCATGCCTAATTAGACAGAAGAACGCAATGCTTATAATATTATATCTTTATTATTCTTCCCACGATACTCACAGTAGCATTGAATTGTAATAAATGAAATATATTTATTACTAGCTGACTCGGCAAACGTTGTTTGGCCATATAATTTTTTTCTAGAGGAATCGGAATGCACGCATAATGTGTTTGGCAGGTTACACAGACATAGTTAACAGTTGACAGGTACAGTTTGTATGGAAAAATACAATTGTTGCTATTTCAATTTTCTATGCAATTTTTCCATACTTTCTCATCGTTTAAATCGTCCCTGGACTGCCACAAATATTTTAAAACCAAAATTAGTCAAATCGGGCGAGCCGTTCTCGAGTTTTAGCGAGACTAACGAACATCAATTATATATATGAAGATACCAGTTTTTTTAAATATCTAATACGGTAGTACTGTTTTTCCTAAAAACAAGCGAAAAATTCTCTGCCAAATGACCATTTTAATTGCATTCATAGCGATGCTCGATGCCATCTAGTGTTTCTTTTACAACGACCGCCTTTTCATATGACATTTTAAAAATAATTAGTGGTCGCATTTGCTATGAAAATTTATAAATTATATTCTTAACTCAGATTCATCCCCGTAGCAGTGGAAAACATTTCGTCGTTTATGTTGGATAGTAGAAAAGGAAAGTAGAAAAGGAAAAAAACAGCCTTTATTTATGTTCCAATGCTAGGCAAAACGTCCTCTGTACCTACAGAGGTTTTTAAGGCACAGTCCACCACGCGACCCCACTGCGGTTTCTCGGATTTCACATGTCTTAGAAATATATTTTTTGTTTTTATTTCAAAAAGTATGCAGGTTTCCTCACGATCTATTCCTCACGTGATAAGTCGGCAATTGAAATTGACAATAACATTGGTGCCGGCACTGGCCGATCACTCGGTAATATTAGAACTTTTATTAGACAAAAATGAATTATAAGAAACGGCGGAAAGTAGTAGATAAAACAAGCACACATTTTTCGCTCTTAACAATTATAACTCGGAAAGGAACTGGTATCTCAAGTGTTTTCTTAGATGATACATTCTGATAAAAGTCAACATTTGTGTCAAATTTGTTTGCCACCACGGGATTAGAGTGCGTTGGAATTATGGCACGCGTTATTTTTTTATTATGTGGTGTTTTGGCTATTACGTGCATGTTCCGCTTTCTAAGCCGTGTTTAATTGTCATATTTTACTCCTGTTCTAGTTTGTACTAGCAAGTTGGATAGTTGGTTGTTTTGAACGCATGCACCTATAAAAGTCATTTTCCCATTTTCACTTTTCAAGGCTAAAAGGCTTAAAATAAAATAAAGAGAGATCATTTTAGTATATGAAATATGAATATAAATATTTCAGGACGTGTCATCTAGTCCCAAATTAGCAAAGCGTGTAATATGGGTACTAGGTAACAATATAAGTTTCTTTTGTAATTAAATAAATATTAAAGATATATGAACACACAGACACTAAAACAACGCTACGTTCATTACACAATAATTTTCGAGTAGTGCGATAGCAGTCAAATCAAATCAATTGATTTATAAAACTATAGATTAACAATTGCGCCTATAACCGTAGATGCTTAAACATTTATGCGTCATACATTACGAAAGAAGTCACAAGCGTTCATGTTTTGTAATTGTATTAGTTGATTAACAACCAAACATACCTAATGTAATACTTGGTGCCAGTTGAAGCCGGACTCGACACTGCTCAGACTGGCTGAATTCACCCATAATCGTACTGCAATATTTACAATACTAAATTAAAGGTGTGCTATCGATATTTTCTTCACCGCCGAGGACATCGTATGTAAAGCACAAAAATTTTAAATGATGAAAAATGAAAAATTCAAATAAATAATAATAATAAAATTTTGCTGTATGCACTATATTTGCATGGCTTTCGAATTTACCATAGGCAAAGAAACCCTTTGTTCCGAATTACGCGGCATCGCGCTCGCGGAAATGCAAATGCGCCGTCGCGCACAGATAAACAATCGTCAAAACAAACGATAATAATGGCACTATAAAAAAAAATGTGCCATTGTCGATGGCTGCCCTTTTTCGTTCAGATACACCGGTACGTGATTGGACTTGGCAGCAGTCTGGCAATGGCGCCAAGGACTAAGGACTCGGTTTTAGGTAACCCAAATAAACAGCAGGCACTATGATATATTTGCTTGTTTGCTGTCTGCATGTTCTCCTAATTTAATACGTAATCTTGACATGGATCTGGCTTAATCGAAGTACGCTTTCTATCACTCTTATATTGGTTACTATGAAAATATTATAAGAACTATTATTCATGTCAATACTAGATACAGTGTATTAAGTAAATGTATGTGTCACCCCGGACTCTGTAAAGTGTATGTAACTTAAGTATATTATTCGCTACTTATAATACGGTAAATGAAATTTAAGAACATATAATGTTTCAGATGATTTTAATAAATTAAAATACTTAATAAAATCGTTGAATGTATAATAACAATCTAGTATGTATTCACCCGTGGGTTCTGGCTAGCCCACCGGTTCTGTGCCAGATGAAGCTTTAATAGTCTCGGGACTGAAAGCAAAAACATCAGTAAATACATAAAACATAAAGTATGTATTATTTTTAAAGATTGTAGCCCTGAGATATTATTTTAAAACATGAATGTGTATGTATACCGATTCAATTTGTATAATTTGGTTGGTGTGTACATAATTTTTACAATATGTGGCTTTGAGAAATATAATATAATAAAATATATAACATATAGAAATTATGGATTTTAATGAAACGTAAAACATAGGCTATAATCTATGTACATAAATCTGTGTTTCTGTCCGAATGTTACGCCTTCAGCCTATTCTACGCAGACGTAGTCGCGAGCAGCCGCTAGTACGAACTATTCCTCTGCCGCCGTTGTCTCGGGTTGCTCGAGTGTATACATTGAAACATGATTCGAGTAGCTTCAATGAAAAGAGTGAATTTTAGCTACGGTTGCAAGACTTAACTTGAAAATTGATGTGTATGGTATGGAAGAAAGTCCTTGCCGCTGGGTAATTTCCAATGGATGAGTGTTACATAATGAATTCCGTTGACAACGTTTACTTATTCAACGTGTTGACTGTGAACGTGGCTACAGTGGGGTACGTGATAAGGATGCCGAGGTCCGGTTTAACATTGACATCAAGGATGGTGATGAGTCCGTTCCTACTCATGAGAATTCAAAGAGAGCACTAATGTTACATTGTTTTGGCAATGTTACATGTGATGTTACAAGTGAAATAAGAAGAATTAATGATAGATGAATAAAATAGATACAAAACACAAATAAATAAAAATACATGTCTGTGCCTCTTACACAAAAGAGTAAGTGGAAATTATGGAATTTTTACATACTTCTATCAGTCCTCATCACTTGCGGCTAATCTGTCTTGCTGATATTTAATTACTCTGGTTTATTTGGAAAATTTACTTAATCTCTGATCACGGATCAACCAGTCATAATAGTTCTACTACCACGGTCAATAGTGTCTAACAGATATAATATGTCACCTCCTTTATCATCAGCATCATCATTTCAGCATGTTTAAGTCCACTTTTGAACATAGGCCTCCCCCAGAGACTGTCACGCAGCACGATCTTGATGGAACTGCATCCATCGACCTCCTTTATATTGACTCTGACTACTAGATGGTAAAAGACTTAACTTTGTTGTTGGTATGAGAATACTATACTATAACACAGTAAATTATACCCCATATATCCTTTGGGAAATGTTGGAACAGTAATATATTCTGTGGGAAATGTTGGAACAGTCATAATTATATCCTTTGGGAAATGTTGGAACAGTAAAATAAGGATCACCTTGTCATTGTAATAACCACATTGTCATTGGCGAGGTTTAACTTTTCTAATTAAGAAAATGGTAAAACCATGTACAGCTTCTGCTGTTTCTCGAATGGGTAGGCTCATCCGGGGAAATAGTACGGTCTCACAAAAGACAAGCGTGAGGAGGAAGTAGTATACTTTAACGTTTCATCGTTTTGGCAACGCATCTGCAACACCCCAGGTGTTGTAGATGTCAATGGACGACGTTCATCTCCAAATGAATCGCCTGTTCATTGGCCAATTTTTAAATAAAAATATGTTACAAATAACTTTATTTCATAAATAGATATATAAACAGAGGCTTACAGGCCTCTGTTAGTAAAGCGTTTACTAAGCAGTGGAATATGCAATGCATAGACTGTTAGTTTTTTTATGTGAGAAGGTGGCAAATGAGTTGACGGATCACCTGACGTTAAGTGATAACGGCCGCCCCCTGATATTAGTAACACCTGTAGAGAGTTAATGAATGCAATTTTTAATAAAGTGGGCTCTGCTACCCCACTCACCAGGCGAAACGCATGAGTATTACAGTCTACTTCAAGCTGGTCTTTTGTGAGGTCGTGGTCCGTATCCAGACAGAACTGTGGTAGAGCCACGCAGTAGCCTCGGCTGTTGCACGAATGGGCAGGCTCGTCCGGGTAAGTACCACGACCTCATAGAAGACCGGCTTAAAGTGAAACAATAATACTATCGCGTTTCGTCTGGTGAGTGAGGTAGCCGGAGCCCAATTTTCAAAAGGTTGTCAACGCATCAGCAACCCTCGGGTGTAGCAGATGTTCATAGGCGGCGGTATTTACTTAACATCAGATGAACCGCCTGCTCGCTTGGCAAATTTTCACATAAAAAAAAACCTGCCCATTCGTGCAACATGCAAGGCTGTCGTGTGGCCTTATTACTTGTTTCTTTACTTTTATTCTACTAGATATATTTTTATTTCCAGGTCGCACAGCCATGCGTCAGCAGGTCGGTTTCCGAAGAGGACTCGGTGGTAAGCGTCTACACGAAGCAGCCTGGATTAACCGAGGGTACCAGGACTTCTGGAGTGTACCTGATAGCAAGCAGCATCGCTGGCAGGATAACTTCGCCAATCACAAAGTGATTATAACATTACTGTCTTGACATTTCTTAATATAGCCTATATAATAATTTTTCATCTACGGACGTCGTAAAGTATTTAGGCAGGTAGTCACCAGATGTGGTAGATTGTGAAATTTATTTTTCTTTTAAATTTAATTATTTGGGGCTTTCATAATAAAGTCCCTAATAATTAAATTTCCATCTACATATACCAACACAGTATTTGATATATCTGTTAGAGTGAAGATTGATATGTCAATAAAAATACACGATATTTTTGATTTGACTACGTTGTTGTGTGAATATAAGATTTAATTAGAGACGTATGAATTTAGTTTTAGAGTACAAGTGCAAGAAATAAAAGTTTAAATGGTTTATAACAGTATGAAGTAAGGACCACATCTGTAAGGCCCTGAAAATATCAAAGTTGAACAAGACAATAACAATGATCGATTAAATAACATTATTAACTCAGTCATATCATACTAAGTACCTGAACAAGATTTTAGGCAGCATCAATTTTTAATAAACTCTTTCAATCTTCAGGTTCTTTGGCTTTGGTAAAAAAGAAAACGCGACGACGACAGCAAGACCCTTTCATAGGATCGAGTTAATGGACGATGTACTGGAGACGGCCACCAAAGCCGACATGAACCCGTTGAGCAACGAAATACCGAGAGAGAGGGACGTTGAAGAACTGTCACCTGAGGGCAAAGTGAAGAAAGCCAATAAGAAACCCGAGAAGATAACGCTCTACTCCAGCTATCTGCCGACGAACGACAGAATAGAACTAAACGACACGGTGAATGAAATCGGCAGCGGCGATGAGGAACCGTTTGGGTTTGATGATGATTTCGACGACGTAGAACCTAAGACACACGAAGGAGGTATCGTGTATATACTGGAAATTATAGGAAGCATCATACAGTTACTTTGGGGCGGGTTCCTTTCGCTATTCCAGCCGTCCAAGTCAAGTTAGGTATGAACGACTAGGAATAACTAGTTATTGCGAATCATTAATGACTGCTTAATAGCTATAGTCTTAAACATAGATTCGGTACATACCTTAATGTTTAACAAAACGGGGAAGTAAATATATTTACCCTTCAGTTCAAATTTAATGTAGGAAATTATTATTTATTTCAATGTGTTTAAACCGTTACTTTTAATGAGCAACTCAATATGAGTTGTAGTGAATAATATGTTGTGTAAAGATTGTAATGCAAATTTTATTAATAATAATACAATACACCTTGCATATTTTAACATTTGACATAACGAAAAAGGTATACCGTATTTGGAATAAAATAAAATAAATTAAAAAGCCTTCACCTAATAAATAAAATAAAAAGAATCACATAATTTGTTGACAATATTCAAGATCTATTTTAGTTCTTTTAGCTCTCAGAATTGATACGTCAGTATGTTAATGTTCGCATGTCCACATGCGTGACTTTGCTTAGGTAATGTCTTTCCACCTCATGGAAATAGCCTATATAATATTCTGCGGGCAGAAAGCTCTATCATCACAAAAAGAAAGAAGTATCGACGTGGGTGCAAATCTGACTCTGCCACCGTTGTCAACTTATATCTGCGATAGATTTGATTAATCTATAATTAGGAGACAAACAAATAGGCATAGACAAACAAAAAAATAGGTGTACAAACCTATATGTTAAAACTGATTAGTGAAAATCTGATTTTTTACGGTTAATAATTAAGAAACAATATTTTCGTGCCATTCTCATAACAGTATTTTCTTATAAATTTGTTTAATAGTTCATAATTTGAGGCTTTCAATGTATTTGATGTAGAAATTGATTTATTTATAAGTTTGTAAATAAATTTTAACAAAACTGTTGTTCGTTTCTTTACTATTTCAGAATTATTCTCGTCAGAAATCTTGGTTTCAGCAAACTAATTAATTCTGATGTTGTATATAAGGGGCAATCAATAATCACGTGCTCAGAAACCTGCATACTTTCGAAATAATAACAAAAAAAAATTCGAAAGTATGTGAAATCCGTCAATCCACAGTTGGACCGCGTGGTGGGCTATGCCTTGATGCTCTCTGTACAGGGGAGGCTTTTGCCCAGCAGTGGGACATGTGTAGGCTAATCTTATCCTTTAAACGAGCAATTCTTGTATATATATATATATATATAATCGGAATCTCGGAAACGGCTCCAGCGATTTCCGTGAAATTTAGTATGTGCGTAGATTCGGGGGCGAAAAATCGATCTAGCTAGGTTTCATTTTTAGAAAATGTCCTTTTACCCCTGTTTTTTCAGAGAATGAAAAATATAATTCGAATATGACGGTAAATTTCGCCGCAAGAGAAAATGTCATAATAGCTCGGTTGGTAATCGGGCGGCCCCAAAACAGACGGCCGTGGTTCGCGTCACGATCATTTACACATTTATTTTTTTACTTTTTTTTCGATTCCAGATCATTGCTTTCTTTATTTTTAATTTTTGTCGATTTGTTATTTTATTCCCCTTTTTTTAAATGTAATTTAAAAATATTATGCATATTTCATTACTCAGTAATTTGCATCTAAATGTAATTTCCAAAAAACACGATTTACCAAAAAAAAACAAACCGAGCAAAGCTCGGTCCTCCAGGTACTACTATATAAGGGATACAATGTAGAAGCATTTAAGCTTCCGCTGATGTTTGGAGTAGCAGGAAGTCTAATAGCTTACACTGTCTATGAATTGCATTGATCTTTACCAATGAATGCACAAAACTGATCAGTTGTTGTAACACTATTGCAGCATTCACATTTTGCTCATCAAGTTTTTGAATACACCTGTCGCCTGTCTATTTATAAAAGCAATAGAATCGAGTACACTGTTCTTACTAGTGATATCCCTTGCTTTCTTCTATTTGTAACTAGCGATATAAACCTTCTTTATACATACAAACCTTCCTCTTGAATCACTCTATTTAGTAAAAAAAAAACCGCATCAGGATCCGTTGATTATTTAGAGCTAAGCATACACAGAGACAGACAGACAGCGGGACGACTTCGTTTTATATTATGTGTTTTCGTAGAATAAACACAATCGAATACGCCGTACTAGTGAAAGCTTGCTTCTTGCAATTAATTAACACATTTTTTTGTACTTGATGTATCTGTGTCGGGATAAGTGTGAAAAGCGATGTACGCTTGTAGGAAAGGTAAGAAGGTGTTTCACGATCGTGGTAAGTGAAAAATCGCGCCTGTCCCTTACAGAATGACAAGGCAGATAACAAAGATCGCTCCTGCAAAAATACTAAGCGAAAATAAGAAATAAGAACGATCTGTTTTTACGACAGTTGGCTCGTCGGAGATTCGGATAAAGGGATTGTGGATATATTTTACTGCTCTCGTTGCTTAAGCAAATATCGAAGAAAGGAAGACGCCACTTAATATATTTAGGGCAATGTAGACTAGACGTCTAGGCGGTCCGTTCCCATTGCCCGAAATACACAATGCTTTTTAACCTAATGTCACGGTAAAGAAACTTTTTCGCTTATAAGCTGAGAGCAAAAAGTCTCGTTATTTTGCTGACTCAACGCTGTTAGTGTTGTGGTCTAGCTGTATACAGAAAAGTTTAAAAAAAAAACATCTTGTCCGATAATTACCCGACTGCGACAGAAGGAGGGTTACATTTTTCGAGAGTATGTATAATTGTTTGGCACGCTCTGCAGCCTGACCGGCTTGATGGATTTTAGCTTGAGAGGTGTCGTTAGATTCGTATTTACTGTGAGACTGCGAGACTGGATATAACAAAATAAAAAATTACACAGAAACGCAGTCGAGTTTTTTTAGTTTTTTTTTATTATATTCTACTTGTTTTATTGTTATCACAAAGTTAAAAAGTCGTAATGAATTCTATTTTTAAAGTAATCATATAAATACGTAAAAACGCATTTGCGGTTGCAGAGATTACCAATTATTAGTTTTCTATATCTATGTAGAATAGATTCTCTATGATCTTTTTATATTTTTCTGTTGTTTTCACATAACATAATCGTGAAGCATTACTTTAAAGTAATAGCTAGTTAAAAGTGAATAGCTCTATTTAAAACTATATAAAAACAAAAAGGTTATGTTATGGTTTATTATAATTGTTGCGAAATAGTCTTGCCATCTTCGTTTTAGAGCTAAACTCTTACCCGAATTTATTCCGTATAAAATTTTTACGTTTGTCTTGATACTTCAAGACAAATAGTTTATTTGCTTTTGATGGCGGCCAGCAAGCTGTTTATTTACCAGATGTTTAGTTATAACCACCGCCCATTGACATTTGTAACACCCGTAGGTTGTGATAATGAAAAATAAAAAAGTTTTAGTTGATACTCTTCTAGATGTTTTTTTTTTAATTTATTTATTTTAGTGCATTGTATATATTTCAACGAGTAAACACTTTTCCTTTGGAAAGAAATTTCTTTCCAGTTAAAATAAGGGTACTGTTAACTCTATACACGTCTTTGCTCATAAGTAGGCGATCACGGTTCTATCCTTAATACTTGCTAATATTATTAAGGCGAAAGTTTGTATGTATGGATGGATGTTTGTTACTCTTTCACACAAATACTACTGAATGGATTTTAATGAAACTTTACAATAATATAGCTTATATCATCAGAATAACACATAGGCTATAATTTATAAAGATATTGTGTGAATTGTCTAAAATATAGGTAATGATAAGTGACTACTAAGTAGGAAGAAAATCAGCCATCTGCGACCTCCTGACCACGGCGGCGAAGCCGCGGTTCTCAGCAGTATACACATAAATTTAGTCTGTTTTTCCCGTTGTTTCACCAAAGTATTTGCTGGTGTAAGGAATGAAGAACACAATCCCCGGAGGCTCCCAACCTCTGAATAGAAGGCAGACGACGTCGAGGCTTTGTATCATTTATTGTGGCTACAGTCACACCGACAGTGGGCTATTTTGTATATATTAAAAGACCGATAGCGTCTGGATTGGTAGTCCGGAAGGTCTACCAATCCAGACGCTAGTACACAGGTCAAAATTCTGGCAGCGGCGAAAGAATTTTCGAAAACTTATGTAAGTATATATTTTTATGTTAAACATTATAAAAGATTTCTTGTTATATTTACTTGTATCTGTATTTGAATAATAATAATAAATAAATACTTGCGGACATATTTTTACACAACGTTCTCTAGTCCCAAACTAAACAACTCTTGTATTATGGATATTAGAAAACTGATAGACATACTCAAACATTTAAATTCTATATTAAGTTTGTAAAGTTCTAATCTCGCCACTTAACATGGGACTCTTAGTAGAAAAACGGATGAAAAGTTTTTCGTCGCCGCGGAAATCAAACCTTCGTCTTCCGATATCGCGTCCAGACGCTTTAACCACTAATCTGATTGTCACGATGACGAAAACACTTGTGGTCTAAAGGGATTTCCTTAGGCACTTTCGACGATTCCCTGGTATAAAAACAATCGTAGACACGTTCATTGTAAGAGCATCTTTAAAAGGCCCAAAATGTGAATAGGGTGGGAGCACAGGCTTCTTCCAGTGTTGCAGACAATCGGTCCAGTTCAGAGAAATCAGTTATGTGTGTTATACTAGCAAAGGCATTAAGTGGATACGGTGTAAGCGTCAGCCGCGAGAGACGGCGGCTCTCCCTACAACGGTTGACAAATACAACTCACGGAAACATATGAATGAACAAACACATGAATACCGCTGTCTAATTTGTTACGCGCGTAACGACGTGCCCTGGTTACGATAATAAATGTCTTAATGCGATTTAAGCATGGCGTGGCCATTTAAATTTAATTATATAGTAGTATCTGGATGACCGAGCTTTGCTCGGTTTGTTTTTTTTTTGGTAAATCGTGTATTTTGGAAATTACTGAGTAATGAAATATGCATAATATTTTTCGATCTTACCAACGGAATAATAAGAAAATGTGAACTTCTGTTATTCACAAAAGAAAGAACTTTAAAAAAAAAGGGAAAAAAGAACAAAATCATCTGGATCGACAGAAAATAAAAAATAAAGAAAGCAATGATCTGGTATAGAAAAAAAAAGTAAAAAAAATAAGTGTGTAAATGATCGTGATACGAACCGTGGCCGTCTGTTTTGGGGCCGCCCGATTACCGTCCGAGCTATCATTTATTTTTCAACGAAATTTACCGTTATATTCGAATGACATTTTTCATTCTCTGAAAACAGGGATAAAAGGACATTTTCTAAAAACGGTCAAAGACCTTGATTACAATCATTACTCTTTTGCTATTAAAAATAGAAAAATATGTAATTTTATATTATTTTTAAAAATAAATATTTTGTTTTCCTACTATCACAACCCTAAATCGAGGATAGGTCATAATTTAATCGTAAAAGTTATAATTGTATTTTGATATTTATTCCATTTCCAGTCGCATTAGGGAGATTCTGATACTTCAATTGGACGGGTAAATGGACATTAAAAAATTGTTTCACTCCTTTGCTTTTCCGACTATGGACCCGAAGCGAAGCTTCCTTCAAAATGGTCGGGAGCATATTTGTTGCAGTACTAGTGTTAAAGAGCTACATGACAATGAGAAATCTGTTATTATACAAAACGCACATTTAAAAAAATAATTGAATAAGATTTAAACAATAATAACATTTCTCTGTATGAGTCTGATAAAGATGGAGGCTCACTCATTAAGTTGGACATTACTGTTATTCATCTGTTGGCCATTAATTCATCTCGCGTTGTACATTTAAGTCCAGGTCTCACTGACACTTTCAATAGTCAAGAGAAAGAGAGGAAGTCATAGTGTCCTATACGGAGATGCCGTCTCAAAGTAATAAATAAATATTTCAGGACATATTTTACGCAACGTTTCCTAGTTCCAAACTAAGCAATGCTTGTACTATGGATACTAGATAACTGATAAACATACTTAAATTACTTTTCTTTTTTAAATAAATAAATATTATAAATATACAAACACCCAGACACTGGATAAACACTATGTTCATCACACAAGATTTTCCAGTAGTGGGGATTTAACCCACACCCTCTGGCGCAAGAGGCAGGGTCACTACGCACAACGCCAATCGGGTCGTCCAAAATAACGCCAATTCACTTTACGATTTTAGAGGTGCGAGTCCAAAATATATTGACCATCCTCTGTGGAGTCTACGGGTGCTGCCAATGTCAACGGGTAACGGTAAACATCAATTGAACCACCAGCCTCTTACTTAAAAAACAAACCAGTCAAGCGCAACTCGAACCCGTACGCTGAGGGTTCCGTACTACTGCCATAATAAAAATGGTAAATAATCACCAACGATTACCAGGTACTGAGGTCTATAGTCCCTATTAGGTGTATAAAATCGAGGTTCTGAGTCAACACAATAAAAAGATATGGGCAAATTTATATTTCCATGAAAGCTTGTAGGTACCAAAAACCATAATTTGTGCTGTAAGACCTTGCTTTTTGTCAAATTTCGTGATTTTAGGTCAACAGGACCTACCAGATAGCTTTTCGACCCAAAACCTGTACTCGACCCCTTGCACACAAAATACATTTGTAAACTGAGATTGAATGAAACGAACCCGTTTTTTTTTAAATTATATTAAGTGACTAATGTAGGCTTAGCTTATAAATGCATATATATGATCGGTGCAGCACCAACTAGTACTTGTAGACGAGGGGTTGGAGATATCTGATCTCGGAGGACAGCTTGGACTCGTCCTTCGCCAGCTCCGCCACCATCTCCTTGGCGCGGTTGTTCGCGTACTCGTGTGCGCAGTCGTGCCTCTCCACCATCTTGGATAGGGCCATGCTGAGCTGGGCCCTCGCACCGCCACCTGACGACTCCACGAGGGTCTTCATGACGTCCGGCGAGAAGCCCTGCGGCAAGCGGTGACTTTAAATCCATATGATACAAGGCCTCAACAGATTACAAGGTCCTAGGATTCTACTGTAAGCTCTTTCTGACTTCTGTAACTGAAAGACCTTGCTGTAGTAGGACCACGCAACAGTCTCCGCTGTTGCACGAAGGGGGGGGGCCCGTCCGGGTAAGTATCTCGACATCACAGAAGACCGGCCTGAAGTGGAAGTACTTCTGTGTTTCGTCTGGTGATTGAAGTGGCCGAGGCCCACTTCATTAAAACTACGGATGTTGCACATGTCAATGGGCGGCGTTTATCACTTAACATAACCGCCCGGTCTTTCGCCACTTTCCCGGCAAAAAAAATCTTGACGCCAGGTAAATATGAATGGGCACTACACTAAAGATTAAACTTTAGATGTGAATTTTTATAGTTAAACTAGCGGACCGACAGACTTTGTCCAGTAAACACGACTCATATACGAACTTCCGAACAAAAACTTATAAACAAAAAATTAAAAAAAAAAAAAAAAAACATTGTAGTGGACGGAATTGTGAATCTAAACCATTCTCGAATCGTGTTCCCACTATCAATCAATTTGCTACCTTCTAACTAATTACTTCGTTAACAAGGTCTGGGTACAGTCATGGACATGAGTTCTATTCGCGAGTTATTTTACACCTTGTTACATTTCCAATATTATGCCATGTCTGTACCTTGCTTTTCTATATAAAAAGGTGGCTAGCGAGCAGGTGGTTCACCTGATGCTAAGCGATTACCGCTTCCCATAAAGAACACATAGCGGGTTGCATATGTGTTGCATAATTAAAAAGTGAGCCCCGGTTACCTTAATACCAGACGAAATGGTAAAGAATAATACTTGCACTTGTCGCCAGTCTTATGTGAGGGCGTGGTTTTTCCTATTTTCCTGAGCCTATCCATTCGTGCCGCAGCGGAGATTCCGCTGTGTGGCCTTACTATGCTTAAAGAAAGTTATATATCTAAAAAAAATATATCTATATATTAATACCTATCTCTGTTTTCCTCATTGTGGTTCAATAATGAAGTTTTTTTAATTTTTTAAAACCATCATACTTTTAGCCCTCCATACGAGTAGAACGTTGTAATTGCCACCTTTGAACGCGGTCTTTGCGAACGTATCCTACATAAAACCAATGATTGCTTGTCATTAAACGTATAAAATTTATTCTTTGACTCTGACTGTACTGTGTAGTTGCTGAACTAATTTAGATCTCATTCATCCAAATTGATCTTGATATTAGTTTATAGAAGATATTAGTAAGCGAAATAAATTGCGAGCGTTTGCTTAGGTTATCTTCGAATCATTGAATTTGTAGAGATTTAAATGGAATTGGAGGAAATAAGATTTTACGATCTTGTGATTTTATGCAATTATCGTGTTGTACTAGTTTGTAAGGTAAATTATGACTGAAGAAATTGCGAACTGTCTTTTCACAATTTTTTCTTATTATATTTATGCTAGAGAAAATGATATGAATTAATAAAGAAAAAATCAATTAAGTAGACGGGACAGAAACGAGACAATCTTAAATACTTTCACTATCAATATTAAATTTTAGTAACTCTTACATTTCTTTTTGCCAAATTTCAAATATTAAGTTAATTACGCAATACTATGTAAAATATAAACTAATTGAACACCGAACATTGTGCGTAAAAGTGTTCTGTGTGGGACGATCTCGCAGCTTTAGATATATATACAGCTCTGTATATGTAATACAAACCACACATTAGATTTTTTTTTTATGTCTAATCATTTCTTCCCACGTTATACTCAATAACGTGTTGGTAAATTTAAAAAAATCTGCAAACAGTTATTTGAATTACTGATCTATCCAATTATACTGTTTTAATTTATTAAGATCTCTATTAGTATACGAAATCCCCATTAGCAATAATTTCATAAGAACCACGCAATGTCAATGTTTTTGCGACCTAGGAAAACCATTTTTCATACTCTATTTTATTTACTTTAATTATAATGGACTTACAACAACAAGTAAGGAAATAAATGAATATTTTAATCGCCGAGGTTCATCTCTTATGATCATTTGAGTAAAATAACAACTGTTAATCCTTTGGATCCTTATAATTAGGTTTTTTTTAAATTAGCTTTTCTTTTTATTAACTAGCTATCGGGACTATGTTCAGCAGTGGTCTAAACGAGATCATGATAATGATGACGATGATAATATACGATTTCACCTACCGCATCTCACGCGTCTTCCATTCTCTAACCGCTCTAAGAAATCAACAGATAAACGAACATTATTAACTTTATCATATTTTTGTACTTACACTGTAATCTGACAGCCTCTGCCTCTTCGCCTCCCTGCTCAGTAGATCGTAGAGAAGCAGCAGTCGAAGGTTCGATGCCGAAAGCTTGCCTTTAGGGGTTGGCTCCGCTGGATGCGCTCTTAGCCCATCCCACACGTCGATCAGCCGTTCGTCGTAAGGGTCATTTGCCATCCGGATCATCTCTCTCACGTTCTGCGACAGGTACTGAAGGTTCTCTTCTGTTAGTTCGTCCTCGTCGAAGCCTTTAGAACGGCTAGATATTTTGTCAACGTCAGCCTCGAAGTGGGGTGGCAGCAGCTGAGGAGATTCAGGGGTCGGCTCCAACAGCGGTTTAACCTCCTCGTGGTGTGCAGACAGTAATGGATCTTCGTTCCTTACATTTTGGGGCTGTATTGGGTTGTACTGCGGGAAGTCGAACGTCATTACGCCATATTGATTTTGCGAGTACTGCTGTTGATTTTGAAGGAATGGGTTGTATTGATATAGATTCTGTGAATTGTTGAGTTGTTGGTTGTTCTGTGTGAAACCGTACTGTTGGTTCTGTGGTGGGAAACTCTGTGGCTGCAAAGTGCCTGGAGGGATGTAGAATTGCTGCGTATCCTGGTTATTCTGCGGGTTGTACGACGGAATGTTGTAGGGTTGCTGGAACTGATACTGTGTACTGTTGAAATCTGGATTATTTTGGATGAAGTCACTACTTTGTTGCTGGATCGATACAAGGGGTACATAAATTTGTTGGTTCTGTTGAGGCGCATAGTTTGTTGGTTCATTTTCTGTTGGAGCATTATATTGCTGGTTTTGTGGTTGGGTATTGTATTGTTGGTTTTGTGTTTGGGTATTGTATTGTTGGTTTTGTGGTTGGGTATTGTATTGTTGGTTTTGTGTTTGGGTATTGTATTGCTGGTTTTGTGGTTGGGTGTTGTATTGTTGGTTTTGTGTTTGGGTATTGTATTGTTGGTTTTGTGGTTGGGTATTGTATTGTTGGTTTTGTGTTTGGGTATTGTATTGATGGTTTTGTGTTTGGTTATTGTATTGTTGGTTTTGTGTTTGGGTAGTGTATTGTTGGTTTTGTGTTTGGGTATTGTATTGTTGGTTTTGTGTTGGGGCATCGTATTGTTGGATTTGTGTTAGTGAACTGTATTGCTGGTTTTGTGTTGGGGCGTTGTATTGTTGGTCTTGTTGTGGTAAATTGTATTGCTGCTGCTTTCCGGTTACCCTCTCCGATGGTTTGGGCGGTGATGCGGGCGCATAATAGCCAGGCCGATGGAATGGGGTAGTTATATCACTGAAAAAATCATATTATGTAAGTTTAGATGAGTAAGAAGTAAGAGATATTAATTTACCTTTTTAGCGACATATAATTCTTTTTTTATTAAATGGATGTTTTAAAATATACACAAACAAAATGAAAACATAACATGAGTGTCAATGATCCAATCTAAATTAGAGCAATTTAATATGAAATGTTATAAAAGCAGGTTTAAAGCTTTATATTCAAATAAATAATGAAGTTAATAAATATTATTGAGCAAGTATTAAAATAATAGAAGAAATTCAATTAATGAAGCACAATCCATTAATATATTATATATTATATTATTTATATATATATTTCATTTAATTAAAATTTAATTTATTTATTAAATAAGGATAACATAATTTTTATGATTTTTGCTGTTATAATATATAACTTTAAAAAAAAATCAGGAGCTTACGAATTGACCAAGTTTTTACCTTTTTTAATGAATAGTATTTTTTTATCATCCATCTTGCAAATATTTAAAATATATGTACAAATGAGTACATTTATGATTATCAGTACTTTGGAAGTTCACAAACTGAGTCGATGGTGGAAGTTGGGATCCAGATAATAGCTATTAGCACTGAGTACAAGCGACAACAATTGTCTTTGTTTATGCAACGTTATCTAATATTATATAAAATTGTAACTTTCTATCTCTAAGATAGAACCATAATTTTACTTATGAAAGTTGTGTCGGAAAGTTAGTATATAAATAAGTTATATTTATATTAGTAGTATTAGAAAGATATACTATCTAGGTACAAATTACCGACCCACGTTCAGATGTATCGAAACGAACAACTTTACGAAATTTCTTACGTGAAAATCGTCCTATAATTATTTTTGTGTTCGATAATATCGTGAATTTTTGTTTTATACACGTATTCATAGTTTTCTATTGCAAAGCTCAATGAACCTACCTAGTGCTATGAAGGTCAATGACCCGTTTCTTAATGCCTGTTTATCCGGTCTAGTGCAACATAGGCTCCCTATAACCGTTTGAAGCGAGATTTAGCTTTTATCCAATACCTACTCAACGAACCTCTGTCTGTCTCTATATGTTTGTACGCTTATATCGCTAGAAGCGCTAGCTGGGTTTGAATAGAACTTTCATTAGTTGGTTAGGCTACTAGTAATTCCTCAATAAAAATTGTCAGGAGAAACATGGCTACTATTATAATTTAGTATACATTTGACTGCGAAAGGTAAATATAAAATCTGTAGTTCACGTGTCAATCCACAAGCACAGATATTCAGTTACAGTTTCCCTAAAATTAATAGATCTTGATGCAAGCGCGATGACCTAAAGGCCCGTCCAGCCGCCGCCATTACCTATAACTATGTAGGCGGCGTACTCACGTGGCCTCACTGTGCAAGAGGGTTTGCCGCCAATATTTGTTATGTAAGCCATTTTCATTAGGAGTTATAGGGTTCGACATGGCCAGAATAATGACCAACATTAATACGTACAAGGCATTTCATCAGGAGACCATGTCTTTCTGAATGTTGTTGGTCAAAAGTTTGTTTATTGTTTTTTTCTAAATTCATGATTAGAGAAGATTTTTATGTTCTGATATACACAGAAAAATTTGACATACTTCTGTTAAATTTAAAATATTAAATTTGAGTTTAAAGAATATATTTGAGACAGAGATTTGCAATTAAGAAGAGAGGGTAAATGATAGCAGCCGGATTTAAAATTTAGCCATGAACAATTAACAATCCATATATACATAGAGTTTTTTTTTAAAGCGCGACTGTTATGCATATAACATGACACCTATCGAAATAATGTAAAATGTGAAATAAAACCTGTTTTCAACATCTTTGTTCACCATTTATAACACAGAAAAAGAATAAATTGAAATATAAAGGCAAACCAATTTTATTATATAAACAAATAAATATAGCGAACCCGCTCACCTTCTGCGACCGAAAATAAAACAAAGCGCCCAAGAAGGTTGCGATAAATAGCGAGCGAATAATAAAACTATAGAGAGTTGGCTATAGAAAAATAATAGGAACAATAAAAACCATAGAGAAGGCCTTCACCTCGTAATGCCGAACGGCATCCACCACCCTACAGACCTATGTTGCAACGTTTCAAAGTAATCGGACGTGACGTACAGTGGCTTGGCCGTGGTGGTGGGTTTGCTTTGAGGCGGTTTGGTCGTGGTCGGCTTGGCCATGGTGGGCTTGGTCGTCGGCGGTTTGGTGCCGGGCTCGTCTTTCACCTCGAACGCCATCTGGTCCGTGAGGTGGGCGATCACTTGCATCGCAACCGGCAAGTACGAGTCAGAGAGTTGGACTTGTTGCTTTGCGGCCTCCACCTGAAATAAACGAAATGACTATCGGTTAAAATTTGTAGAAAAAGGGTCGGTCGCTGCATCGTTGTTCGTCGTTGGATTCACGCCTACACGCTTTAACAAACTCTAAAAGCACTTTATTTACATGTTTTTACGCAATTCCGGCAATGGCGCATCAATTGTTATATCCTTTACAGCGAATCTTTTTAAATACAAATTTCATTATGTTATATGCTTCATCCTATGCGCAGAGATTTCACTAAAGAAAAATAAGTTTAGATTATTAATCAACAATGAAACATTATTTTAGTAGAACGATATATATGGTTTTGTCGAAGTTCGTTTTTAATTAAATTTGTACTTCCAGTGTTTCTAATGTTTACAGCAATCATGGTCTCGGGACGGACTGAAAATTGAAACATTCTTGTCCGTTCCACATAGTTAATGCTGTGAATCCGAATGTACAAAATATTGAAGCATTGCTGTAATGGTGCGTTGGGATCTGGAAATCTGATTATTTATTTATTTTAATAGCCTCGTGAATCAAACTTGACGGGTGTTCTTTTGCTTAAAATTGTTGTGTATCAGTTGGTGTGAGTTTTTTCTTTAAACACAGTATTGATCAAGTTGTTATTAGGATTTGAAAATTTAATGGCAACGATTGCGAAATATAATTATTATAAGAAAAATTAAAAAAATCTAACGTTAAATTCATCTTAGAGATGAATAAATATGAAGGACTGAGACCACACCAATATATTCATCCCATCATGAGATTTCATAGAAATAATCAGTAAAGAGTGAAAGGAGAGTAAAAAGCGATTGTGGCTAAATGGCCCAGGAAAACAAACCCAAATGGAAAACTATAGTGACAAGACCACAAGATAATGGCTTACAGCTAATTGCGAAATTACTCCAACTTGCAATTAAAATAACAGTTTATCGTTCGAAATTTGTCAGCACCCGCTTATTTCGAAATGTGTCAAAGAGAACGCATGTTTAGAGCGACACGAATTCGCTGTTCGTCTCGGTGAAACTCCATTGTTGTAATACCCGTAAAGGGAAAGTAAGAAGTGTAATGAATATTCATGAATTAAAGCGAATTTATTTCGCGATAACTTTTGGTAATGATAGTTTTGACATTTGCTGTATAATTTGACTATAATAGTAACTGTTGTATTTGGTACCGATATTGAATACAGGAATTTTCATCCTTGTCATATAAAATCAAGTATTGACAAGGATCAGTACTTGATTTTAGACTTATATTGTCTGGAAACAAACCGAAGTGGAATAGAGGATTTCTGAATTCGTAAATGTTTGTTCCTTTGCAGCAAAACATGAGATTCCTGTCTTTCATTTAGCGGATGACTTTTCTATGATTGATGACAAAGCATTAATAACAATCTGCCTTTAAAATTGAAACTCGTAATCGATTTATACGGTTTCTGCAAGTACGCCGGACAATAATGGGCTCGCCATCCATCTTATTGGTACTTCAAATATTATTTAAACTATTTATACAAGAGTTTTAATGATGTTCATCACTACACAGAATAAAACAAAGTCGTCCCGCTGTCTGTCTGTCCCTATGTATGCTTAGATCTTTAAAACTATGCACCGGATCTTCATGCGATTTTCACTAGATAGAGTGATTCAAGAGGAAGGTTTATTTGTATTAATACATTGTGGGGTCACTAGTTGTTACTAATTTAATAATTCGCACCGTACGTAGAATAACGTTCTGTGGTCACATAGAACGAATTTGATTTTATCGTCGGAATGTCTTAATTATTGTCTACGCTTTCAGATAACCTTTCATTTTTTTTTCGTCTGACTTATAGTTATTGAGATTCAGAATAGAACAACGTTCTATCTGATTTGTGCTCCGCAGTACAAGGACATATGTACGGTTAGATACGGTTTTATTCGTCATCGGCATTCGTCCGTGAGCGCGGGAGCGCCGTGTCAAACCATTCAGTTCGTTGTCGCGCGGAGGTACGCTTGTGTGCATTCATAAATTGAATAGAGACAAAACTGCAAGTGAATGATTATTTTTTGCGATCATTTATTCAAATGCTTATTAACTGAATCAATGATATGTAATAGTGACTTAAATCTAACAAAAAATAATGTAAATTTAATTTAGTACTTTCAAAATTTAATTTATTTTCACAACCTTTTCGGTTTTATTATTAATAATCGTTTATTATTATGTTTATATTTTATAAAATATTTTTTTACATAAAGCGTTTTAGTGCAGTATGCAATTTCTATAAAATTTCAAGAAAATACGCTCTGAAATGCATAATTCGTAATAGAATGTTACATGTGTTTTTGTGACTTTGCTTTTTGAAAAATGTAATGGAAATGTAATAAGTATTTTTTTCTTAAATATTTGCATTTCGTGTCAATATAATTTTGTTTTTAGACGTAAACAAAATTTTAAGCTTGTTTTATTTTTAAATGTTATGTTTGCCCGTGGAACGTTTTTTTACGGAACATGTAAGGAGAGTTTTAGGTCCTTATGCACACGGAACGTTGATCTACGAAAATTGGAAAAAAATATATTGGTAGTATGTGCATATGTCACTTTATTCTAGGAAATGTAATGAAAACTTAACAGTCTTATATGCAAGACAAATAATAGTATCTATATTTAGTTTAAATATCATGATACTACTGATGCTCAAAGGCGTTCCCCATCGCTTGAGAAGTGATTGATGATAATATTTTTTCATATTTATCTTGAAAAGCAAGAAGCAAAGAAGTTTTTATACTCAAGTTTTTGGGTGGATAATTCTTCTGATGATGAAGAAAAACCTATTAAAGAAAATAATTTACAAATTCGACGGAGAATAGCTAGCAGTCCTAATTTAAACAATAATTCGAGAACCATGACGCAGCTGAATTTAGAATATACAAGTAGCTTCGAAAACTCTCCTTCATTATCTGTAATTGAATTGGTCGCTGCACAGATTGACAAACTTAAAGAAACACCACGTCGTTGTGTAAAACGTCTTTCTAAAAAGTTTCCTGCAAGTGCAGTGCCTGCACTCACTGCTAATAGTCATGATATAGAAACAATACCTGTGTCATCATCTGCATACAGTAACCAGTCTGATGTTGAGACATTTTTAGTACCGTCGGATCTTTGCTGTCTCCAAATCCGTCTGATAATCCACCAATCGAAAAAAAACTACCAAGACAATAATGAAGACGTCTTCAACACCAAACTCGACACGCTAGGGATACTGATAAATAAAAGCAAACAGCCATCAGTCTAATAGTGAAGATGGTCCCTATGCTCATCAGTCACATATAACGTCTCTGTCACTTGCACCCGAACCGCATTTCCAGCCGAACGATGAAGATATTTCTGTCACTGTCCAGTCCGAATATCCAGCTCCGTTGCCTTTAATAAGCAGCCATCAATCTGATGAAAGAAGTGGTCCTGATACTGCTCAGCCTGATATAGCCCCTTCGCGATCAAAAAATAACCAACAACCTGACAATAAAGATGTTTCTGTAACTGGACAGTCCTATGTACCAGTCCCGTTACCATCTAAAAACTGCCATGAACCCGTTGACGAAGTTACTTACGATGCTGCCATACCTTCATCTTCTTACAGTAATAACGCTACTAATCGTATATTACCAGAATCTGTTGGCACAAAAAGATGTCATGCGTCTCCAGAACAATCGGGTAAAAATAAGCGTCGATATTTAAAGAATCTTGGACATGAGTTTTTATACTCTTTTTATACTAAGCGGGGCAAAATTGTTAGTGCTAAAGTAATCGGACCACCTTGTAATTGTAAATACAAGTGCTACGAAAACTAGAGCTAGGAATTAAATGAAACCACACGAGAACAAATATTTTCAAAGTTTTGGAACTTAGGAAATAGATCAAAGCAATGGAGTTTTGTAACAAAGTTAACCAAAAAGATGAAAACGAGAATGACTCCCTAAATAAACGTCAATTTTGTATAAAATACTCACTACCGATTTCAGAGGGGGTAGTGGTGGATGTCTGTAAAATAATGTTTAAAAATACTTTGAGCGTGAGTGAAAGGATGCTTCGCACGGCATGGAAAAAGCATGAATGTAAATCTGACGATGAGGTCGATCAGAGAGGAAAGCATAAAAGCCATAAGCGAGTTATAGTCGAAAATATTATTAAAAGAGTGTGTTATCACGTTAATTCGCTTGCTCCCTTTGAATCTCACTATTTACGAAAGAAAACCACAAAGCTTTATCTTGACGGTTCGTTGAATGTAATGAAACTGTACAATTTATACAACGATTGGTTTGACTCTGAAATATATTCAAACCAATGTAAAAGTCTTCGACAATACAGAGATATTGTTAACAAAAATTATCGAAAACCCCACAGAAGTTCAAACTGTAGCTCAACAACAGCATCAAAACAATAAATCTCTTGCTCGTGCAAAAAAAGCTGCCGAAAAAAAATGCCGAGGAAAATTAACAGTAGCCGTATTTTTTATTTGATTTTCAAAAAGTGTTGACTTGCCCGCACGGTGAAATAAGCGTATTATATTACAAAAGAAAGTTATCTTATTTTAATTTTACTATATTCGACATGGGTACTAAACATGCAGTCTGTTACGTCTGGGATGAAAGCGTTGCTAATAGGGGGGCCAACGAAGTATCTAGTTGGGGGCATCAGATGGGCTAAAACTGGTCATAATAACTAGGTGGTAAAAAGTGTTTACTTGATGCATACTCCACAGTAGTTTTGCGAACATCAACACGTACGGAAGCATCTAGGCCTATTTCTGAAATTTCGAAAGCATTAGCTCCAATACCAATTTCTGACGCTAAATATAAAGATTTACAGAGTTTGTGCAAAAGCAAGATTATACCCAAAGAATATGTTGAGTTTTTTTTCAGCTTGCCTCATGGTAGTGTAGAACTTAATCCTGAAGAAAGTGATGATGAAAGCTCATAAATACATTATGAAATCAGTAAGTGTTTTCATTGTTTAGTTAAAATCATTTTTATATTTGTTAAAGTTTCTACTTATTTAAGGTTACTTGTTGTTAAAATATTTGGATGTTGTTACCCTGTTTGTTTAAAATTTTTTGTTTTGTTAAAATTGTTTGATTTTATTAATTGCAACTTAATAAAATGCCTAAATAACTTATTTTATTTTGGGCATTTTAATAAGTTAGCGTTACAGGTGCTGACTTTAAAGTTGATATTAATTAGGTTTAATAAATTATTCACTTTTTGACTAAAGAAGAAAAATATATCGTTATTATGACTGTATTACGTTATAAGGCAGTTTTAATAAAGTTAATTTGTGTGCAGTTATTCTAATAATTTTGACTGACTAGGCTTATGAATGTAAGGGACGAGTGTAAAATACTCTATTAGAGTCAATTGATAATTATTGAAATAATAATTTTGATCTCGTGTAAAAATCAAACAATATTCTTAATCTTGTAACTTTATTTCTTATACTTATACCTATTAATTATGTAGGTAATTTTTTTTATCATTTTGACTGATTAAATAAGTAAGAATGTTAAGAACTATGGGGGAGGCCTATGTTCAGCAGTGGACTCAAACAGGCTGAAATGATGATGATGATGATGATTAAGAACACCTGCGGTTTCTGTTAAATGTACTATTACAACAAATAAAAGTTATTTTAGAAAAATACACATTTTTTTTAAGTAGTTTAACAATCTTTTTACCAGGTTTACTCATAAGATACGTAGTATGTGTTCATTATCACCCCCTTTTTTTCGTACAAAATAGTGCTACATGCGTTTATGTCATACATATTTTATGAGTTTTTTGTAGAACAACGTTATATATGAACGTAGGACCTATTATTTTTTGGAATGTTCCGTTGAACAACGTTATATATAAATGTACGACCCATAATTTTTTGCCATTTTCCATAGGAAAAAGTCGCTATTACACATGGAACCCCTTATTTCCTAAATTTATATACTTATTCATCCAAAAAGTATACTGTTTATTTATATAGCTAATCATATTAAAAAACTCAAAAATTGGAATAGCAATTGCTATGTATAAAAAAATTATAAACAAAATTAAAAAATTAAAATTTAAACCGGCCGTCCTGAACATTTACAATTTTGCAGATGTTACGTTATTCTACGCAGGGTGCGAATTCGTTTTTAAAACTGAGAATGTGAAATTCTCATTATCGTGGAGTCGTATGAAATTAATTAAAATCTACTAAGGAAATTATAAAGTATTCTAGAATTTACAATATTTTATCAACCACAAAATGTCTTTGAACTCAGAAACGGCCTGCCTAGTCCATAAATAATTAATGGTAGGTATGATATTCAATTGAAAAATCCTGGGCAGAGATTCTGGCGTGTGGCTTAACCTTTATATGTAATAACAATGAAAAGCCATAATAATTTATAAAAGCAGTTCTAACTAAAATTATTCTAAGATCCGTCTTGAATAAAAACCATAAATATTTCCATTTGCACTTGTCTGACTTACCAATGCAATATCGCCGGCCTGCAAACAAAATGCTGCCAATATAGCGTATCGAAGTATTCCCGTCATCTGTAAGCACGAAAAATATTTTGAATTGATTTATGCAGCCTGAATTGTTCACGTTCAAAAACAGATTTTTCTATAGTTCGGAGCATCCTTTTGTAGTTATCTGGAAAATGGTGTTCAAATTTATTTTTAATGTTCTCTTTTATATTTACATCCTTCCCGGGTCACACTTCCTTCCAGTTAGTGTGAAAGTATTATTATTAATACTAGTTATTAAAGAAAGCCTGGGCATAAATTCAGGTGTGTTTCTAAACATAAAGAGTAAGGTATTCTTTTTCTTTACTTTAATTTACCGAAGACGTTTTTGCCCGTTAGAAATATTGTAAAAAGTTTCAAGTAAGTTAAAAGAAGACAACACAAGTAAGCGAACATTAAAGTAGTTATGATTAAAAGTAAGGAAGTAAAAAGTACTTACGTACTTTTACTTATTGTGTGTAAGGTAATGTAATACGTTATTTTTAGATTTGTTAACTTTTATATTTCTTCAATAATAATGTTAAAAAGCGTAACGTATGCAAAAACACCACTTATCACTAAGGCATTACGTGCAAAAATATTTGGTACGATTTATTGCTATTCAACAGTAATACCTATATAGCGTACAAAATATTCAAAGAGGTTCATTGTAATTTGGGCGTCGGTTAAATTCGGTGTAAATATATAGTTCGTTTGGGAGTTCGAATGTCTTAAGGAATTGAAGGAATGACCAATATCAGCTGAAGTTGTTCGGTAACTGTATCAAATTGTTGTATTCCAAATAGTCACTTATTCAACAGATGAACTGTAAAAGTATGAATATTTCGAAATATCAAAATGATATTCCGATATAAGGTTAATATTTTAAGCAAGAAGGTTAATATTATTCAGTGCGTAATATTAGTACTAGCGGTGATATGCAATATAGCTAATCGACTTGTGTTAAGTGATATTGAAGTTATAAAGACGCTATCAATATGCTAAGTAGTTTTCTTTTCTCAATAACTCTGATCCTGCATTTGTCTAGTATGAGAGGTTACTCAGACCTTTATAATGTTGGCAATGTCACTTGGACTTGAAACGCTTGTCTGTCTATTTTTTAAAAAGAAAAGTGCCAACCACTTGTCAGTAGTTACTAAAAGCCGATTTCAATATACTTTCTATAGACAGTTAGAAGTGGCGATGGGCCGGCCATATAGCTCGTAGAACCGATAACCGTTGGGGAAGAAAGGTTCTCGAGTTGCAGCCTCGTACTGGCCATCGCAGTGTGGGACGGCCCCCCACTAGATGGAATGACGACCTGTGCAAATGTGCGGGAAGTCGATGGATGCAGGTGGCTCAGGATCGTACTTCGTGGCAGTCTATGGGGGAGGCCTATGTTCAGCAGTGGACTCAAACAGGCCGAATTGATGATGATGAATGAATGGATGAATGAATGAATACACTTTTATTGTCCACCACAAATAACAATATACATAAAAGTAACAATAGAACAACAAATTTATGCACTGTACAATTTGGCGGCCTTATCGCTTCATAGCGATCTCTTCCAGGCAACCAATGGCTTAAAGGAAACGTATACTACGTAGGTGGTGCAATAGAAATATACATAATATATTATTAAAGCAGATACATACATTTATATATACATATCCATATATACACAAAAATACATATATATATACTATATACAAATACTATACATATATATATATACACACATATATATATACTAGACCTCAAACATGAATAGTATTTAATCCCAATATTACTCAGGTGATTGTGACAGGTAGTGCTCTCTTACTAACTTCTTAAAAGTGCCAATAGATTGCGCCTCACGTAAAACTAAAGGCTAGGAATTCCAGAGCTTAATAGCCTGCACGGTAAAAGATTTTTCATAAAACGACGTTTTGTAATTTGGCACCCTTAAAATGAGCTTCCTCGAAGAACGTACATCTTCCCCTGGAAGCCCTACAAACTCAAATTTCTCCTTTAGATATGGTGGAGTACAACCATGAAACAAGACACCATACAAAACAGAAAGAATATGTAAATTCCGGCGAAATCGGATGGGTAACCACTTGAGACGTTTACGAAATTGAGAAACATGGTCATATTTACGCAACCCAAATATGAACCGAATGCTAGTATTTTGGAGTCTCTCAAGTTTATTTAATTGTTCTTCAGTTATATCATAGCTAGCGTCAGCATAATCGAGAATCGGAAGAAGAAGAGTCTGCGCAAGCATAATTTTTGTTGGAATGGGGAGAATTGATCGAAGGCGACGCATCTGAGAGCTACAAAAGTTCTCCTACTAACTTCATTTAAATGGCGTGTCCAGCTTAAGGTACTGTCGAGATAAATGCCTAAGTTTTTGACATAATCACAGTATGGATTATCACTCCATTGATTTTAATTGGCGGTAATGATAACCAGTCAATTCTTGATTTGAAGGACCGGCTGCCAACAATTATTGCCTTTGATTTATTGGGATTGATAATGAGGCCATGTGATTTACTCCACTCATGTATGTGATTTAAGTCATTGTTCATAACGGCGATAGCTACTGGCAGATTCTCAAGTGTTGACTGGGTGTAAATCTGGATATCATCCGCATACATATGGTAGAGAGAAGAAATTTTTTGAGTGATTGAATTAATGAAAATAGAAAAAAGTAAAGGTGACAGCACGCCGCCTTGTGGTACGCCAGCAGTAGTATCACACCAAGATGAAAGTGTTTCATCAACGCGAATACGCTGCCGACGTCCATTGAGATAACTTTGAAACCAGTCAATTACTGATGGTGATAAATTAAGTGAACACAGTTGACTCAACAGAATATCCAAATCAACTGTATTAAAAGCATTGCTGAAATCCAACAAGGTCATAACTGTGAGCTGTTTATTGTCCATACCCAAACGAATGTCATCGGTAACTTTAATTAGGGCAGTAACCGTACTATGACCAGGACGGAAACCCGGATTGTAAGGGATTGAACAAATTATGAGTGTTAAGAAAAAAGGTTCAACTGTTGGTAAATGAGCTTTTCAAGTACTTTGGAAAAGAAAGGTAAGATCGAAATTGGACGAAAATCGGAATAATTATCGGGATTAGGTTTTTTAGGGAGAGGTATAATATGAGCAGTTTTCCAAGCATCGGGAAATTTAGAAGAAGAGACACATTCATTTAATATATCAGTGATAACAGGAGTGATAATATCAAGGAGAGGTATAATCATGTTACGGCTAATGTCATCACTACCGACAGCATTCGAAGATATGGACAATATGCTTTTCTTAACATCACATACAGTAAACTGACTAAAAACAAACGGAGGATTATTAGGAATCGGAGTTGCAGAGAAAGATTGAAGAGTTTTATATGGATATGGCGTCGCTGTGCATCTCTAACCAATGTATTACAGCGATTCCTGATTTTGGCATATTTTCTTTGATTCTCCTCCGTTCTGTTTCTCTTAAGTTTGGACAACGCTACATTTTTCTTTAAAATTTGCTTTTTTAGGTCATCAGAGAGCCAAGGAGCAGGCAGGTGTTTAATCTTAACATAATGTAATGGCGCATGCACATCAAAAAGTTGAGTCAGAAAGGAACAAAAAAGTTTGACTTTTGAATTAATGCATGGTGCACTCTCTATCACTGACCAATCAATTTTACGAGCGTCATCACAGAGCCGGTCAATATCCATTCCTCCAAAATTACGTCGCAGAAGTATTTTAGGTTTCATTTTAGGAGGGCGTAGTTTATACGAAAGAAAGATAAGATCATGGTAAGATAATGCATCGGCAGGGTACTGACCGTGACTGTAAACTAGATTTGGAGAAGAAACTATAATCAAGTCTAGAAGAGAAGGTGTACAGTTTGGACAGTTATGGGTAGCCGAAAGGGGTAGAATATGCATATTACATGCTTCAATGATAGAATTGAGTTTATTCGCCCGATTGTCGCCTTTAAGTAAACAAGTATTAAAATCCCCCATTAAAATAGTATGACTGTAGTTAGGGATTAGTGACACTAAAAGTGACTCGAGAGAAGAAAAATAATTTAGAGAGAGGGATGGGCTATAAAAAACTCCAAGTAAGATTTTATTTTGGGACAAAGATATCTCTATTAGTAAATTCTCAGCAGAGTCAGCAGGTGGCCGCACCACACCACCGCCACCCCTGTCAGTGCGGTCATTTCGAATGAGATGGAACCCAGGCAAGGAGTAGCAGACAGAAGGCAGACAGAGCTTTAACCACGATTCAGAAATGAATATGGGGTGAACGTTTTGGGATTCAAATGACGCTAGCATGTCAGAATAATGAACCGGAATACTTTGTGCGTTAATGTGAACAGCATTAAAATTTTTCAAACAGTCTGAGAAACAAGTATTTAGGGCAACATTGAGTGGAAGGGAAGTTGATGTCGTACTGTGAAAACTTGAGTCACTAGGTGTCTCATCACCCGAGGACAATGACATGAATAAATCACTATCGATACTGATGTGTGAGGATAACATAAATACTATAATTCATAATATATAAAAATAGATATGTTATAATATATAGAAGCTAATATATAAATGTATAATATGCAAAACTTACTATACCCGCTATTTATAACCACCAGCACCATGAAAGAGAAAGCGTACAACAACAACTTAAGATTGCCTAAAAGTGAAAAAAAAAAAAATAAAAATAGAAAAAGAAATTACATATTAAAATTAAAAAAAACTTAAATTCTACTTTGTTTAAATATATAGCAAGGTTTCCATTTGTAACATATTCACTTGCAGTCAGTATTTTCATAGACAAGTCCATGGACTAACAAACGCTTAATCTATGAATACTTCACTACATTGGCAACAATGGCAGCTGTCAGAGAATTGATATCATTGCAAGTGTGAACTGTCAAAAGTAATTGCAAAACAAACAAAATTACTATTAAATACCTGCATCTTAATATTTGTAAATTATAAGATACACAATAGAAGTTTTGTCTTGACAATAAGTGCAAGAATTATACTATATAACAGAACCAAGCCAACAAGACTCCAATATATATATATATATAATAACAACCTCTCAACACACGTAAAATTATTTTTTAATCGGCTTCCGAACCCTGCCTGTGATGGAGGGCTTAGGGGCTGATGGTGCCGCCACTACCGTCGCCGCAGTTACTGCAGTTGAAGTTGCTGAGGAACTTCCAGCTTCATCAGGAATGACATTTACCTCCGCGACGGAGACCACTCGATGTCGGGTGCCATCGCGCCCAAGAATGACAATAGACCCATCACGTGTCCAACACCGTGATACACCAAAGCGATTCCGAGCTGCAACAAATGCTTCATGGCGGGCCTTGGTCATGAATTCAGATAACGTAACGCCGCTACCTTTCAGCTTAGTCTTAGAGAACCAGACTTTGTCACGTAGATCTTGATCTCGAAATTTTACCAACAATGCACGAGGTTTATCACTCTTAGTAGGCCCCAAGCGGTGACATTTGGAAAAGCAGCCTATAGTTATATCAGGCATATTGAGCCGCTCAGACAGAACCTTACTTATGCACTGAAGTGGATTTTCATCGCGGACTTCTGGCACCCCATGGAGAAGCAACATCTTCCTCCGCATCCTTACCTCCATTTCGTCTTGCTGCCTGGAGAGAAGCTGGAGTTGCAGCTGCAGATTCTCTAGTGCCGACAGAACAAAAGTTCTAAATGCACTAAATTGTGCATTAATATTGGAAGAAGGACTTGCTGCAGAAATGGATGTTCTAACTTCCTTCTGGAACTCATCCATACGTGATGTGAAGTTTGCTGTTAGTTCTTCAATTGATTTCTTGAGCAAATCCATAATAAATGTTGTTTAGAAGTTAGGCAAAGGTCAATAGTGTTTTATCAGAATTAAGTTTTAGGCTGTACAGTGTAAAACAAATTATTAAAAAAGAAGGCTGGTGGTTCACTGTAATCACAGGTAGATTTTTACTCTTTATTTATAGATATTTACTATAAAAACTAAAAATAAAAGAGGAACAGCTTTTAATATGTCTATACTTTTGAGCGCCTACCCACCAAAAAAATGATGATGATGAGACAGTTACAATCTACAGAAAAATTTGTTATTGCACATAGAATTTTGACGTAGGTACTATGGTGCTAATATCAAATACCTATCGATAGTAACTAAAGTTATCTGTAGAGTTAATATTAAAACCGGCCGTTAGTTTCTACGATCCAAAACGGGACTGCTGGTGAGCCGGTTGTCGCTTACATTTTCCAGTTTTCCCATTTTTACTTTATCCTTGTCCAATAAATATTATATATACCCAGAGGAATGCGTGGATGGCGGGTGAAATTTTTCAATGGCGAAAATTTACATCTTATTGCTCGATTCTTCCAGTACTATAGTATGGTACTGGAGAGAGTTTACTATTTTTAGGCGTATAGAGTCTATTTTCGTTTGTGCTATACTTAAAGGACACACTTGTCCCTACAGAGTGCGGACTATAAGTATTGTATCGGCGTATTTTGATGAGTGTCACCAAAGCATACTATTTTATTTTTTATTGAGGATTGAGGTGATGGCGGTGAGGATGGGACACGTTAATGCACATGATAACCTCTACCCATAGACATTTGTCACACTACAGAAGTTACGAAAGCGTTTATTCGAGTCAAACGTATACCATATATACGTTTGGAGATCACACTGGTTTAAACTGATTCCACAGGTTGGTGGACCTATCCCCCAAAATATTAAACACGATAGGAATATTTATATACATTAATTAGAATTAAATTTTTCTGGAAAATAAAATTATTTAACTAGTAGAATACAGTAGAAGCATTAAAAAAAAGATTCATGAAGTATTGGTTATGAATAATATAGGGCGCCACTGAACCCAAATCCACCATTGGATGGAAGGATTTCGCAATATCATCCAGATTTCTTGTCAAGGCCCTTTCCTCTCAACTGACATAATATATCGATGAACATGGTTACTATTACATACACAGCACCGAATTCGACGAAAATTATTTCAATTAATCATTATTTAAGAGAAATCGCAGGTTATTGGAAGACGCTTGTGGAGAAACGGATCCGGGCGCTTACCATGAGTAAACAATCATAATTCCTACATACATATCTAATACGTATCTGAATGGTTTCTTGACTATGGGAAAGGAAATGTATCCAAGGATCGCATACTGCGGTAAACAAAGCAATTTAGACTTTCAACGCATATTCATGAATTTTGGGTAATCTCACATTAGATCAAATAATTAATCTAAACTCAGAACGCTCAAATGATTGAAAATTTATAAAACGCTCCTGAATTAGTCTAATTATACGACACTATATGTCGACACGTCGAGGGTTCAATCCCATACAATGACTTGTGTGACCCACATTTCCAGATTTGGGCGTTTGTCCAAAACAAAACAACTACAACTGTTGACAAACACCAACAAACACCCGGTCATAAAAACTAGCAAAAAATACAAAATGATTAACAATACATGATACACATGTTGTGCTAACCCTACCTACTAGTACGTGGGGCAAGAGTAGAAGGTAATAGTATAATGATAATAGGAGTGATAATAGAAGGGATAAGGAAGAATCTAATCTATTTCAAACCCTTCAAATGCAAGTCGGGATGACTTATCTCTTGACGCTCAGCGCCTTTTACCGATAACCACGACCGCCTACAAGCTTCCATCGGTACAGGCAGTTGTCGCGATAAATTTAAGAGAAATCCCGCCTGACGTCCCACTTATCTAACGGCTGCGCCTAAACCGGGGAGGCTCGGCGTATATAGCATTCGCAATCTGCCAGTGCTATCGGTTGCTCGTTAATGCCATTCTAGGCCTCACGACACTGCACTGGGGCGCTGAATAAATAATGCGCGGCCCTACTATCTCCTAGATTTATACGCGCCACATAAATTGGCACGGCGCAGTTAGCCCGTAACGGTAATGCAACAGGAATGGTCCTGTCTGTACTAGTCTTGGTTGTGTTTGTACTGGCGGACCGTTAAATCGCGAAATGGTGCCCCCATTTCGCGATGTAACGGTCTATTAATATAATAAACCATCATATTTGACTTTTGATTTTGATAGCCGTTTTAATAAATAGTTAAGGATAGTTAAGTCGGTCATTTTAAGGTCCGTGGGGGAGGTCTGTTCAGTAATGTATTCGAATGGGCCGAAAGGATGATGATGAATTTTAAAGCCACTTGGACGAAATTTGACCATTTATTCAGTATGGAAAATACTGAACAACAATTTGATAAAAACATTGATAATGATCATTAATTTTTTTTTCTGTTTTTATAAATAATTATGATCCTCCCATACTTACTTAAAACATTTTAGCCATTGGCAACACAGTGACATAATTTTTAAAGAGATAGCATTCAAAATCCTGGAAAAACAATTTGAGGTTAATAATTTGTTCACTTTGTATTGAATGATTTTTGTTTAATTTACGTATGCCAGCGAAGCAGTCCACGAGGCGGTGTAATTTGAGACACCCTAGCAATTTATAGGTTTCTTCAATGTTGATCCGCCGCTCTATGGGATTCCTGTCTAATAGTTTCTGCTTAATGATAGCTTACTTTGGGTCAGGTACTACTATGGTACCGTATTTGCTGTTTTCATGTGTTTTCGTAGTATTGTAAGCTAAGTGCTTCACCATTCTCATTATTTTAACATGCTTTTATTGGCTTTACCTATAATCTACTTGTATGTTTGTTGTCTTATGAAGAAGGTGATAAACGGTCATCACCCTGTCGAAAAGCATAGCATATATATACATTAAGCTGGACTTCTGGGACGTGGTCCTTTCCCAAGTAGCATTCATACGATAGCAAAGGCTGCTGCGTGGTTCTTTCTACCATAGAAAAAATATATATTATTGTGAGAATGATGTCAGGTATATGAGTGAACGGAATGGATTTTTTTTAATTCAATTTTGAAATTTTGCCGACGCTTTAAGAACCGATCATAATTAAATAATTATATGACGTAACATAAATTCCCGTTTTAAAATTAATAAATATTTGAATATAGAAAAAAATGACATATAGAACGCTCTCTTATACTTAATTACATTTGACGTGTTTCACTTTAAAGTGTAAAAATATTTTTATTTCATATCTGCAATGACCCCAAAAGTTGGATGAATTTAGCATTATCTTAAAATGACTCTGATGCTAGGTTTAGCGTAGATCAGACGAAATATGATTGTTTTAAAAGTGTACTTGGATTTTTATACTAGCTGCCCGAGATCATGATCAAAGCAATTAAAATGATACGAACACAGCTCTCGACTCTTAAAAATATGTACTGCATGTTTTTATAGCAACTACACGCTTATTTATTACGTTTATTACAATTAATACTGAAGTTTTTCCCTGACAGTAAAAAAAAATTACAATTGGTTACGAGTTTGTTTTTCTTTAAATCTACGCAGTACTATATCGTAGATAATATATCGTAATGGCGGATGGTAAGACACGATTTAACCTGAGGTGGTAAATACACTAGCCTACATTAAAAGCCTATCCGCAACTTTTTGTTTTCAATTAACGCTGGCAAATGATTCAATTCTTCAGCTGTAGTAAAGTAACAGCCTATATATGTCCCACTGTTGGGCAAAGGCCTCCTCTAAACAGAGGGTATTATGACACATAGTCCACTGCGGATGACTGCACATAACTTCGTTTTTTTTTTATAAATATTTAGGAAATATGTAGGCTTTCCTCACTATTCTTTCCTTCACCGCTGAGGACATGATAAGTCAACACTTAAAATTGTAATTTTATTAATTACAATTAATTGTCGCTGGTACCGGGATCTGAACTCAAGCTGCTCGAGTATATTGAATTAAAAGTGAGTTCATCAGGGATTTTGCTGTAGACATAGAACTAGTCCCACTGTTTCGCTGTACTCAAGACTAGTACCGTGCTAGTAGATACAACTGTCTTAATTTGATCATAGCACAGAGCAGTTTGCAATCACTAATCTTAATAAGATCACAGCACAGAACTGTCTTCGATGAAAAATAAGATCACTAATTCATGGATTCTAATCTAAATCTGGCTGAATTTGCCTTGTTTTATCTTACAAGCTGTTAAGGACATCAAATTTACGATTCTCATGATGTTATTGAGTCGTCGTCGTAAAGAAAGAACTTCGCAAGATCATTGAAATAAACCAGTTTACGTATAAATTTATGCACTTCCAGAGATACGGGGATTTTGTTTGATTTTTGCAAATAAGCTTCGCCCAATTTTGGCAGGTATGAAGATTTTTGTGGTATCATGACCTAATATCCTGTCTAAAGAGGGATATTAGGTGATTTTTAAAGCTGAATTTGTGAGCTGTTATTATGCTGCACATATCCTTCAGATGTTGAATTTCACCGTCACGTTGTAAATTAGCAAAAAGAAAAGCAATTCATCAAAATATCAAAATTAGACATCAGATAGGCAAAACTTGAAAAACTTTATGTATTTCTGTCAATCTCATTAGTATAACGGCTGACTCATTGATTCCGATATAGAGTATGAGCCCGAGTAACAATTAATTAAAATGCGAGCGCTACACAGCAATGAAGGCACCTCATTCATTTGCATAATTTTAACACGGACAAATTGTTTTTTAAAATTAGTGACAAAACGGTATCCGCCGACTTTTGGCTCCCGTAATAACTCACATGTCAGAGCAACTTTTGGCCTGGGTCAACACACCCGAAATTATTGATCAAACGGCGATACGAACGGTGGAATACCT